CAACTTACCTCCCGTAAACAGACAAAATTAGGCGCAATATTATTTCCAAAAGATTCTGTACAGTACCTTTTTTTCCCCTTAATTGGTGTTAAAAGAACTTAGTTTAACTGTCGCCCGAGTGACCAGCCCTGGGTCTCTCCTTACCTCTCCTCCAATTTCAATCATGGAGAGAGTAAGATAGACAGACATTAATTAATATATTTTCAATATAGTTGTCATACAAGCTCACACTTATTCAGCATATACAGTACATAGATAGTGAAGATATAAATGCGATGCAATAGGAAGTATAACCCAAGGAAGCTGTAGAAGCTTATTTCTGACGTTATTTTTTTCATGATACTGTAGTTGGATTTAAAATGTTTTGTTTTTATTAAAGTTTTGGTCAATTTTGACCTTGACCACACAGTAAAGATATTTTAATTTAGAATAAGTCGAATTTTGCGATAATGGTGATTTTGGGTTCGCGCAAGACAGGGGTGCAGTGAGAAGTCCACGGTGTGAGCAGGCGGCAGGCGGGGGGCACGACAGAAAATTACTCTTAATCAGTCAGTCTGTTAGGAAAGGTGATCATACAGCTGCTTCACTAAGCAAAAAATCGACCTGCTGGTGACAAGAACTGTTTGTCATATTAAGGTACACCAGTTATTAATTATCTACCATCAAAGTTTACAACATTAGCTTTGTAGAACCCGTCGCATCTTAGTTACTAATCACTGTATAATGTTTAACAAGCGCTTTGTGCATTGTAACTAGGAACTACCCTTTGTCCACGCTGGGTTTGTTGATACGTTGTAACAAGTCCCAAAGACAAAGGACTCGGAGTCGGCGCCGTCCAGTTGAAGCAGGGCTGGATAACTGGATCAACACCAGCGGTCTGTTATGTGGTGACGTCTCCCGGCACAAACCCTGTTGCGCATTACCAAAACAATACAAAAAGATGTCCAGCCATTCAGTGAATAATAATAATAAGGTGTTGATGGAGGAGCACAGAGGTTTATAGTAATAAAAAGCTTTCCTGCAAAGGGGAAGAAAATGGGGGTCTTCGAGGCGAGAAGACGAGTGTCAACAATGACGAACCGTTTCTGACTCGGGCGGGGAATGAACTCCTGCCGACTTACCAGCCTCCCACAATCCTCCTCCCATCTCCTGACACCTCATTCAGGCCTTCCCACGTTCATAATGAAAGGCAGTACTACAGGTTAACTCTTTAATATTTTATAGGTATTACCAATCGAGGGTTACGAATAGGAGTCCTCCATAATTGATTATATTTTAATACTGATGTTAATAGTACTTCAGTGAGAATGATGCTGTATAAAGCCTCCAACGTTTCAAATAGAAGTTATATTAATTTTCAGGCTACTTTATTACCCGTTAGAGGGAAGTCTTATAGTCATATTTTTAGCTCGCCAGCTTTATGTAGCAGAGCTATTGTTAGGCTTCTTGACTTAAGTTGCCTTGCTAATTTTAAGCTACAACACTGCATAGAAGAACAGTTCTTTAAACCGTTTACAGTTAGGCGAATGGAAACGTCACCCGAGTCTGTCAAGATTGCAAACACGGCAAGGTAAAGAACTCAAATTGTAGTGTATTATTTATAAATTGACATACTGTAGTTCTAAAATAATGTTTTCACGAATTCAAAAAAATCTCGTCATTCACTATAAAAACGATGACGTCATGTTTGGTATACGAGTAATATGAAGTTGAAAACTAATGAGGGTGAATCACGCAAGGAATATCGATGTGCTGGGTGTTGTTGGGCCAGTCAGGCAGTCACCTGTGCCCCTGCATGCAAGATACACGACGTAAGACAGTAGGAAAAACGTAATAAATTGGAATTTCTTGCATAAATATATAATATACAATATATATTACGAAATATACAATATATATTATGTAAGGATTTTTCTGACAGTGGAAAGTCAAATTGCACCGGGTTTTTTTTATGGGATTAGCCCACCCGAGCACAGGTGTCTGACCCACATCGGGGCCTGGGGGGCGAAAATGTAATAATAATATTAATAATAATTCATAGTACTGAAATAATATTTATAATAAAAAATAATAAAATAATAATAATATCACAATAATAATAATAATAAAGAAATACAAATATGAGTTAAAAAAGATCAATAGTGAGAAACGATATAGTATGTATGTTGTGTTGTTACTAGTAAGAGAAACAATTGAGAACCTGCAATTGTGTGTAAATGAGGCACAAAGTCGGATCAGCTACCTGAGACTGGGTCACAATTTTCGTAATGCCATATAGCAGCAGGATCTATTATAATTAGACAATACAGGGTGAGTATAAAGTCTTTCCCTGATTATGAAAAATCATATCTCGAAGACCATTCTAGATAGAAACATGAATGCTGTAGCATTGTGTAGACGAATTTATAGATTTTTTCATGCATATTTTAAGCTGCAAAAAAATGTATGTTTGTACCAAGCACATGTTTTGTGTAATAAATGTTTGTAATCGGGGAAAGACTTTATGTTCACCCTGTGCATTTATGCTTCCAATATTTTCCCAGGCGGTAGTTCCTCCCTGTTTGGTAGCTGCCTACTACCTAGAGCGCAGAATCCAGGAATTAGCACAGTAAAAAAAAAGTCAGACAAAAATTTAAAGGCATTAATAAAAATACATTATCTTGATATTTTTAAGAATCGCGCCTTCACAGTTGACAAGAGGACCAAAGGGGCTGACCCAAGTGACGTATCTATAGATAGCCAATGAGCTCGCTGAACAAGTACAGTAGCTGATGAGTGATTAATTTTCATTTTTTATTCGGTATTAGTGGCTCCAATCGCAATAAACAAAAAAATCTGTATTATCTTTTATACCATTGCAGTGTTTCATACTGTAAGAAAACCGACAAAAACTTAGAATTTTTCTTGATTTCTACAGAGCCTTATGGGACTGGTGCTACCCCTCCTACGTAGCTACCTTGCCTGCATGCATCATCATGCCATGTCATGATGCCAGTGATCTGTGTCAGGATTCACGATGGTTCGAATCACCATGGAGGCTATGTGTAGTTTATACTTGGTATTTTACAGCACTAGTAGTATAACCACATCCCCACCAGTTCTGTAAAAAATGCAATTGACTCACAGACATCCAGACCCTATCCTGCTCCAACGTGTGTAGCGTGAATCTTTTAAGTTACATTGTCAGGGCACACGTAAACCATCATATGTACTGGGGTACATAATTTACTCCTAGTCCATCACAAATTAAAGTATTTCAGTATGTTGCACTGTGGTGTATGAAACGTATTGTGCCGGTAAGTAGTGAAAATTGTCATAGCTCTTGCTTAAACATTTTCATGGTGTGTTACAGGGATGGATCAAATACAATTGTATTTGTATTTTAATTATATTTAAATTCATTTTCAATGTATTTGTATTTGTAATTGTATTTTGGCACCCAGAAGAAAAAGTATTTTGTATTTGTATTTCGACACTTGTTAGTGTTACAGGCAGTAGGCTAGATGAAGTGCTTGCCCTTCTTCCACCAGAGCGGTCCAGTTGCTTTGCCCACACACAGCAACTGTGCATAAGAGATGCCTTCAATGATCCCAGTGTCAGAAATAGTGAAGTTGCAACTGTGATACACTAGTGCTACAGTATTGTGACTGCAATACGTCGATCTACTGTGGCTGCACCGTTCTTGGAAAAGATTGGGGTTGCACTGCAAGCCGCCAACGCTACTAGATGGAACTCTCAGTTGACAATGATTAAGTCAGTTCTCAAGGACACCAGCGGAGTCAACTCAGCCATTCGTCTTCTAGGAACAAAAAAGACTGTAGAGGAGTTGAAGGGAATGGAAATGGCAATGTTGAAAGAAGTGGTACAAGTTTTGGAACCATTCCAAGAGGCGATGTCGTAAGTAGAAGGAGAAAACATAGTTACACTTTCTTGCATCGCACCAGTTGTATTTGGTTTTGAGCACAGCCTCAAACTGTTCACTGAAAATAAACCGCTCTACTGCTTTAAGTTGGCAAATGCACAACAGCCATCTGTCAAAAAGAGGTTGCATCCATTTCTGGAGAGGATTGATGTCATTGCCGCAGTTGCCATGGACCCCAGGTTCAAGTTGGCATGGATTCCATGTGAGGAACTGCAGAAAGAAAAGATTTCGAAGATTGTGGACTTAATTATTGCTGAGTCTACCAAGGACTACAAGGAGAAGGTCCAGAAGGAAGAAATTCAAGAGAATGAGCTTTCCGTGAGCATCAACCAAGACAAAGATGGCATAATTGCCAAACGACCTCGTCTCTTTGCCTACATACCTCCACCTGGGCCATCGATGGCAAGCCCGTCAACAAACCACACTACAGTGGTGAAGACGGAGCTTGAAACGTATCCTAGAGGAAGGTGTTCTGCCTTTTGACATCAACCCACTGAAGTATTGGCGTGATATACAAAGCTTCAAAATTCTGAGGCACTTTGCCAAGAGCATTTTAGGCTGCTGTGCAACGTCGGCACCTTCTTAGAGAGTGTTTAGCAAAGCTGGTAATTTTTACACTCCTGAGCGAGCTAAGTTGAGCCCAGAAATCTTCCGGGCATTAATGATGATAAAATGTAATTCTGATGTGTAGGTATTGGGTTTGTATTTTTGAACTTGGAAATAAAAGTATTTGTGTTTGTATTTTTACATCTTAATTTCAGAAGTATTTGTATTTATATTTGTATTTTTGAATTAAGGAATAAAAGTATTTGTATTTTTGCATCATAATGTCACAAGTATTTGTATTTGACTGCTAAAACTCAGTATTTGATCCAACCCTGGCACTGTGTTATGGTTTGGATCTATACGGCCATCACCTTGTGATTGTTTTTGTTTTAGATTAATGATGCCAAAATAAAATATTTCTTAGGGGTATTCATTAGAGGCCTTTATAAACGTAACTTTTAGTGCCGTTCAAGCACATAAAACTCAAATTTGGATAAAAAACAGTTTAATTAGATAATGTATCTGTTTACAGGTGTTTGCTTGATATTGGTGATCGGACAGTTGCAGTCAGCTGTGTCCCAGAGCACCGAGGACGAGCCCACCTTCACCCCGCCGTCTGACGCGTTGGGCTCACCAACGTCGGTTGTCAGTGATGGCCGCGGGCACGACCACACTCAGGGCCATGTAGCAGACAGACTAGTCGAGGACCCCAACCTAGCGGTGAGTGTTTGGAACTAATCTAACTATATTGGGAAATTTTGCAAACCTTAGTACTTTATTTGTTTTCCTGTCAGTTTAACTTATTCTTAATTATTTGCCCCACATTTAAACCATTTTTTTTAATACTTCTTCACTATCCATGATAAGAGCAGTATTACAGGTACTGTATTTGCATAGCGTATATTTGTTATAACTCTACCATTAACTCCTTAATTGTTATTTTTAACTGTTCTTATTAAGAATTCTGAATATATTATGATATGTTGGGGATAGAATACACCCTTGTCGCACGCCCTGTCAAACTTTAAGCCGACTAGTAAGTTCATTTATTTACTATAAAAATAACACTGCAGCTTCCTGTTGCCAGTAAAGATTTTTTAAATTCTGATATCTCCTTCATTAATGCCTACAGTATTTTTTTCCAAGATCTCTTTAAGTTTATTGTGTTTTACCTTAGTATTTTCATTATTATTATTACTGTACTCTGTATACCCTTTTTTAAATGTTGCAAGCCTTTTCTCGGTACAGTGCATGTATGACTACTGTACATTAATCTGCCCACAAAACAGTGAAATTGTTGCCATGTCAAGAGTTGTGGTCTAGGTCAGGGGCGTGGATTTACAAAGGATCGTATGGTGAATATTCTTTGTAACTGCAGATTTCAGAATTTATCTGCTGAACCTATGTGGGAGAAGGAAAACGAAAACTAAACGGCTAAACCTGATGCAATGTAACCAAATCTAACATAACTGAAACCTGATCCTACATAGCCTAACTAAATTTACCTAACCTAATCTAATTTTAATTTTTTAGGGTTTCCTAAAAATTCACTTTGACAAAATGATTAATTTTACAATATGCTCTACAGAGTTGGGGAGTGTCTGGGAGCAACAATGCCACATCTAACGTGCTGGAGGAGGCAGAGGATGCCAGCGGCTTATCGCTGGGAGGAGGTGCACGGGAGGGCCACTTTTCTGGGGCATCACGTGTAGTCCTGCCTGTCGAACTCAGTCTGAGGGGCTACACCTCCATGAGCTTCCGAACCTGTCGACATGGCACCCTTCTGTCACAGGTCATTTATTCATAATGATGGTTTAAACAAAATGGGCTTCAGTAAATGATCATTAGTGAATGTCTATTATGTTAACTTTCAATTTAGCACATATAAACTACCACTAGTGTACTATATATTATTAGTTTGATTTGCTTGTTGATTACCACCGTTGTGAAAGTAATACAATACTGTACTATTGTAAACTTACTGATATGTGTGTGACAACATTTGTTCACTATATGTCACTCCAGCAAGTCGTTGATTTACATCATGGAAGTGTTACAGTACTGTACTCTACTTTAATTTTTGGACATCTTAACCTAACTTACACTTCACTTTATTCAGTAAAAGAGACAAATGTGAAACAAATCAATATTAAATCCCACTCCCTTTTCTGGCATTTTAATATGCGCACCATGATGTTTCTGAAATCCTCATGAAATATTTTTCTTTCTTCAGGAGGGTGCTGGTGGTGACACGCTGGTGCTGGGGGTGAGTGAGGAAGGCACCTTGATACTGTCCCTCACTCGCCATGAGCAGACACATATCACTACGTTGGGAAGGAGACTCAACAACAACGTCTGGCACAGAGTCTACCTTAGGTAACACTATTATTGTGACCTTTTTGTGTATGGTAACACAGGTGTTCAATCTCTTGTGATTTACTCTTGTAAAAACTCAAGATTCCTTTTTATTATACTGCATTGTACTGTATAAATACTGTTGATAGTAAAAAAGATAGTAAAAAAATTTCATGGGGGAAGGAAGAGTATTTTACACCTACTGTACATAGGGGCTATAAAAGCTGCCAACTAAACAATTAGAAAGAAAAAAAAGGTATGACCAATAAAGCATTAAGAAAATTCTCCATTTTCAGGTTTGAACTAGGTGTTTTGCGACTAGGAGTGGACCAGTCAACTGTGATGGTAGCCAACACAACTGGCACCAGTGCACCCCTCATTGACCTGGGTCTGTGGTCACCTTCACCACAGTTGACCATTGGACACAACTTCACGGGGTGTATCCTGCAGGGTGCTGGCACTGAAATGACAAATCCTCTTGTTCTTCACATTGGAGTAGATTGGAATGTTTGTCCCCTTCCAGAGAGTACTGACTGTAGTGAGTACAGGAAACTAATTTTTATTTTATTACTGTTGCACTCTGCATTTATTTCTTTGCATAGACTATCAAATAATTTTTAAAGAAGTCCTGAAATTTATTCTCTAATTTCACTAAAAGTGTTTTATATTCCTATTTTTCCTCTTGGTGTAAAACTATATTGTCCCTAATTTCTGCCAAGTATTTGTTTTCTATGTGATTATGCAAATATGCACAATGATGTGTATAGTGATGTTTGGGAATCTGTCTTGGCTTCACTTGCACTTGCTTGGTGATGGGCTGTTCTCTGGTGGTTGTGGCGGTGACTACTTCGTTTGCCATGGTTGTGGCTGCCTGCACTTGTTCATCTCTTCTCTGCTCCTCCTCACACACCAGGTGGAGGTAGGCATGAACTTTCTGGTGCTAAAGCAACTCCTCATTACAGTATTATAGCATTATTGAGTAGCATCTAATTATATTTTAGAGAGTTTAACCTTGCTGTTTCATTTATCAAAGATGCCAAAGTGCCACTTCATAGAGAGAAATTTTCACTGTAAAAGTGTTCAAGACCAATGAGAAAGACGCAAGAACATTACAATTATCACAGCATTAGTTATTTAAAGAAATCTTTGTTGTCAAAATCTAATTATCATTTACTGCATGGTTAACATTTGTGAAGAGTAGAACTAAGTAAACACTCAGAATTCGTCAGTAAATGTTTTGAGTGTTGCTACAGGATCTTGAACGCATGAAGATATGGAAGTAGTTACGAAATTATATATTGAAGGAAGACTGCTCATGACATCTGCTTTTAACTTTGGGATGTTGCATACATGATGTAAATACAATAATAAGGTTAGTTGAGGGGCTGATCTCTACCTCTGTTCTCAAAACTTCTGAAATGTTGTAGTAAAAGTCTAGTGATAGCAAGTGAAAAGTGATCACACAAAGCAAAGTAATTAACAATGAGAATATTGATCTGTTATCATGAAAATATTCTGAAATACTTTCCATCTCATGCCTGTATCACCATAAAAACATAACATGTGCATAATTCTAAGTCCATGGTGTTTTTCTTTTCTCAAATCATAATTGTTTTTGTTGTGGCTACAGCAAAGATAACATAAAAGACTAAATTAGATTCCCCTCCCCCTCCAAAATCTACCGTAGGGAAAAAGTACTGTATTATAAATGATCAAATGAAAATATAGGGGGTTCAGTACCATATATATATTTATATATATATATATATATATATATATATATATATATATATATATATATATATATATATATATATATATATATATATATATATATATATATATTATATATATTATATATATATATATATATATATATATATATATATATATATATATACAGGTATATTTATATATATTTTATATAATATATATTCTATATTATATATATTATATATAATATATATTATATATATTATATATTATATATTGTATTTTATATATTATATTTTATATATTATATATTTTATATATTATATATAATATATATTGTATACAATATATATATTATATATAATACATATTATATATAATATATATTATATATAATATATATATTATATATTATATATATATTATATATTATATATTATATATATTATATAATATATATATTACAGTATATAATATATATATATATATATATATATATATATATATATATATATATAATATATATATATATATAATATATATAATATATAATATATATATATTATATATATATATATATATATATATATATATATATATATATATATATAGAACATAAAAAGTGGGATACTGCAGGAGGCCGACTGCCCCATACAGGGCAGATCCCTTTCACACCCATCCCAGCACTTCCATGTGCCTATCCAACTTCGTCTTGAAGCTCCCTAGTGTCCCCGATCCTACTATAGCACTCGGTAGCCTATTCCACATATCCACAACTCTATTACCAAACCAGTGCTTGCCTATATCCTTTCTGAATCGGAATTTATCTGATTTAAAGCCATTTGTTCTAGTTATTTCGTTATTACTGAACATAAGAAAATAAGGAGTCTGCAATAGGCCGGTTGGCCTGTGCATGGCAGCTCCTGTCGAGAGTTACTACCACTCTCTATCATCCATGAATCTAGCTAGCCTCCTTTTGAAACTTTCCATTTTACCCTTGTTAATCCCACTTACCCACTTGTACACCTCTATCATATCTCCCCTAACTCTACGCCTCTCTAATGAATGTAAGCCTAAGCTTTTCAGTCTTTCTTCATATGGAAGGTTTCTAACATTATGTTTCATTTTTGTCATTCTTCTTTGTACTCTCTCCAAAGAATCTATGTCCATTCTATAATAAGGACACCAGAACTGAACCGCATAATCCATGTGTGGCCTCACTAATGCTAGGTAAAGTTCAAGATAACGTCAGCAGTTCTGTTACTCACAGACCTAGATATGAACCCAAGAATCCTGTTTGCCTTGTTGCGAACAGCTAATACATTGTTTTCTAGGTTTCAAGTCGTTGCTAACAAATACACCTAGATCTTCTTCACAAACTGAGTTTTCTATTTCCGTGTTACCTAGTTTATATACGTTTGTATTCATCTTCCCTATCTGTAGTACCTTGCATTTATCAGTATTAAAATTCATTTGCCAGTCTACTGACCACTCATGTAAGGTATCTAGATCTCTTTGAAGGTGTTCAAAGTCACTGTCTGAATTTATCACTCTCCCCATTTTGGTATCATCTGCAAATTTACTAATCCTACAAGTTATGCCTAAATCAAGATCATTAATGAATATAACAAACAGCAGAGGGCCTAATACAGATCCCTGGGGAACTCCGCTTTTGACCGCACCCCATTCTGACTTTAATCCATTTATGCTGACTCTTTGTTTCCTACCAGTTAACCATGACCTAATCCATTTTAATACTGATCCACCTATTCCATGTGCTTCTACCTTCAATCAATCTCTCATGAGGACTCTATAAAGAATTACTGAAATCTAAATAAATTATATCATATGACTTATCATCTACAGCTTCATATACTTCTGAGAAAAAGCTAAGCAAATTTGCAGACAAACGTCCCTAGGTGAACCAAGTGCTGAGAAAGAATGAATTAAGTTGAATGTTTCAAGGTGCTTCTGATTTTTGTAGTAATAATTGACTCTAGCAACTTGCCTGATATATATATATATATATATATATATATATATATATATATACTATATATATATATATATATAATTTATATATATATATAATATATATATATAATATATATATATACATATATATATATATATATATATATATATATATATATATATATATATATATATATATATATATATATATATATATATATATACTGTATGATGATATATATATATATATAATATATATATTTATATATGTATATATATATATATATATATATATATATATATTATATATATATATATATATATATATATATATATATATATATATATATATATATATATATATATATATATATATATATATCAAGTAAATCACTGTAGGTGCGTGTCTAGGTATATGCTGATAACCACGCGATTTCTCATATACGCGGTGCCTCGCCAGAACCGAACTTTCACTTAATGTGGTTCATCTACTCATATACGCGGGAAGCGGCGTGGTCACGATGTGCACAAGGTCGCCCAGTCATCAAAACATTACCGAGTTCTTCACCCGCCACCCACCACAGCCGGCCCAAGTCAGTGATAGTGATAATTATAGTGAGGATATGGACTTATATGGGCTTTGAGGGGTTTGACAAAGAGGCCCTGCAAGCCTCTGTGGTGGATAGTGATACAATTGATACAAGTGATACAGGTGAGGGCCAATAATTAATCTGCCCTCTGCCTCGGAACCAACCCCCATCATCAAAACATTACCGAGTTCTTCACCCGCCACCCACCACAGCCGGCCCAAGTCAGTGATAGTGATAATTATAGTGAGGATATGGACTTATATGGGCTTTGAGGGGTTTGACAAAGAGGCCCTGCAAGCCTCTGTGGTGGATAGTGATACAATTGATACAAGTGATACAGGTGAGGGCCAATAATTAATCTGCCCTCTGCCTCGGAACCAACCCCCATCCCCGTGTGCCCAGCCATCTTTTCTATTAATGTAAGTGTTAAAAAACCTAATATTATTGATATTTCTCTTAATTATTAATTGTGTGTGCATACCATCATAAAGTTAAGATAATATTTTTACTACAACATAGTTGTGTGTCGTCAAAAAGTGGAGTTTGGGGGTCGGGCCAGTCTCTATTGGAATTAATCCCATATGATCTGTTGTTCACTTAATGCGGTTTTCACTTAACGCGGTACCCTGTGGGTTCAATTGACCGCATATATATATATATATATATATATATATATATATATATATATATATATATATATATATATATATATATATATATATATATATATATATATATATATATATATATATATATATATATGGGGGGAATTAAGTGAACATCAATCCATCAAACTATATATGGATACATCTTCTAAGGTATTGTACTGTTATGTATGAGGGACATTAGTTTATAGTGAATTGTGTTACATGGCTGGTGCACCCACACACCCTTATATACAGTACAGGTTGACAACCCTTTATCCGAAAACCGAAAAGCTCTGAAAACCGATATTTTTTTTTTTTTTTAACATGGATTAGCCCACCAGGGCTTGGGGGCGAAAATGTAATAGTAATAATAATTATAATAATAATTATTCATAGTAAATAAAAAATTTAATACAAAATTCACCCAAATAAAGTAATAATGATAATAATAATAATAAAATATAATAATAAAATTAATAATAATAACAATAATACTGTAATAATAAAATAATACTAATTAAGAAATACAAGAATGAAAAAAAGATAAAAAGTGAGAAACACGACCTAGACCTAAGAACTATTATTTTTATTATTATTATTATTATTATTAGAATTACAGGTATTACAGGTATTACTATATTTTTGCTCCCCAGGCCCAAATGTGGGTTAGTGACTTGTGCCCAGGTGGGCTAATACACACATAAAAAAATACTAGCCATTCTGTAAACTGAAAAATTCCGAATTCCAAAATGCCTCTGGCCCCAAGGATTTCGGATAAGGGATTGTCAACCTGTACAGTATTTGTGTCATGAATGCTTAGACCTACATTTAAAGCAGAGTTAAAAGATGCAAAATTTCCTCAAACATGTGAATTGTCAACCACCTCCACATTTACATGCTGAGACCAAAGTAAACCATCTGTATTATTTAGATGAGTATTTAGAGTATATTACATATACAAGAAAATAAACTTCAAATCTAGTTTACTTTAATAACCTCAAATTATTGTGTTTAGTTGATTCTATAAATGCATTTGACCTTAGTAGCTAATGATCTTTGTTGTATTAAAAACTATGTTCGTATTGTAGCAAAGTGTTGGAGGAGTCTAGTAGTGCATGCTACCTTTTAGTTGTTATACAGTAGTGTATTACATAGATAGAAACAGTAACAATGTGTGTACTATGCAACCAGGGATGTGCCAAATTTATGGATTATGCAGTATAAGGTGATTTATGACCAATTTAAGCTAGGGATCATAAAAGGGAGTAACTTAAAAGATATTGGGATTATTTGAAGCAGTTTGTCCTCTATCCATTAAAGTCTACTATAACTCACTGCCTTCTTTTTTTCTTATTAATAATGCAGAGAAAATCACTTCCTATTTGGCACATCTCTTCATGTACTGGTACTGTAGTTGGTTAAAATGGATCCATATACAGTATAGTAATTATTTTTCCACTACTAATAATGGTATTTCTTGTTACTCCGTCATCTGATCCTGTTTATAGATACAGCGCTCTTCTCTTCACTCTCTCTTTAACTGATGTTTCTCACTTAAATATTTACTAGTACTGTATGAGATTTGAAACTAGAATTTTAAGGGATTTGTTTAATTCTTACTTGTAGTGTGGAGCTATATTTAATCTGACATGTGACAAGATGTCAGTTTCATCATATTCTTGTGTAAACAACTAGGTTTAGTTACTAGTTTTCAGTACACATGAGAAGTTCACAGGTAAGAAAGGTTCAAAGAATATTTTTCCTCCGGTGTAACTGGCATCCTCAGAAGTGTGCTACACAACATTAAAATTATCAAGTACAGTACCTCTATCAAGAACTTTTCACCCATAAAGTTTAAAAAAAATATCTTTATTGAAATTTGAAATTATTTAAAATGTATAAGGTTGTATTTCTAATTATCTATTGGTTGCAGACACTAACTTTTATCAGAATTAGTCATATGTAAGCTTAAGATATATTATAAATGTATCTCCTTAGATGGGTATGGTGAGGATCACTGCTTCTCCCAGCCATGTGGCCGTCATGGTCAGTGCATATCTTCACAAGAAAGTTATTTGTGTAACTGTTACACCCGATATTCTGGGCAACATTGTGAGGAAGACACTGGTAGGTACTAAGTCTGTAAGCTTATTTTCACATTGTTATTACATATGTAGGACAGTATTTGTTCTTCGTTGTACAGTAGAACGTCACTTTAAAGCGAATCAATTTAAGATTGTTGATTTAAAGCGACACCCACAATTAAGGACAATGTTTTAATTTAAAGCGAATCTTTCCTATTTTGCGCGAGTCAATCTGGTGCATCATATTTTAAAATTCGCTCCTAATGTTTCTCTGGGCACGCTACACTGTCCTAAGGGCAAAGCTGTACTGTTAATGTACTCAAAATAATGTACTAAATGATTACTAAAATTTTTGTTTAGTGCAAACTATAGCATGATTATATTCAAATTAATCACTATCTTATAAGATTTCCAGCATGGTAAATTATATTCTCCCCGGTCACTTCTGTGACATTTTATAAACAAAAAACAAAAACTCAATCTAAAGGACTTAAATAAACAAATAAATACTTCACTAGACCTTGGCACCAACTGTCAAACATGTCACTGTCACCTCCCCTTCCTCCCTCCCTCTCCCCTTCCTCCCTCCCTCCCCCCTTCCCAGCCAGGGTTTGGTGGTTATACAGTAGGCTTTAAGTTTTTATCTTATATAATATCACAGACTAAAGTTAGGAGAATATAATTAGCATTGCTAGAATCCTTGCAAGACAGCTGATAATTTGAATATAAACGTTATATATTTTGCACAAAGGATAAAAATTTAAGCCTTTTGTAATTATAACTCAAATTTTTATGTCTAATGTGAACTACAGCATGTATATATTCAAACTAGTCACTATCTTATAAGAATTCCAGCAATGTTAATTATATTCTCCCAAGTCAGTTTAGTGACATTTTATAAGAGAAAAACTTAGTCATTCTTAAGGACAGATAAATAAATAAGTACTAGACCTTGGCATCAGCTGTCAAACACATCACCACACCTCTTCTCCCCCCCCCCCCATCTTCCCATCAGCTAATGGCTAGTAAACAGACCATTTCACGTCCCATAATTTTAGCTGTGTTGATTTATGAGCGTTTGTTTTAACATAATACTGCAAAAAACAATGTTTTGTTTATTCTAGGAGATGGACTGAGGTGCATCTGGGTAGACTCTCAATCTTTATAGTATTTTGTGTTTCTTTTAAGTACCAAACTAAATTATTCCATTGAAACAACACTTTGATTTAGTGCGAATTCATTCGGTTAAAAGCGACCTCTCTTGACCTCTCTTGGAACGTATCTCGTGTTATATCGACTTTCTACTGTATCTTTTTTACGCACGGAGAGCTCATACCTCCAAGATCCCTGAGACCCCTGGCAGGGCCACCTGAACCATGATTCGTTTCCATAGAAAACTATTTAAAAGGGTAGGCAACATCTGTGGTCCATATGACAAGGGTGGGTAGTACCTGTTTAGTTTTTGACTACCAAAACTTCTTCAGAGCTTAGAAGGTCTTGCATGTAACACTCATGTGTGACCTGTGTTCATTGGGTGTGTCTTGGAAGACATTTTTAGGAACGAAGAAAGGGCTGAACTTAAAGTAAAAATACAGTACTCCATTAAGATTTCCTCATATTCTCATATTGTATACTGTACACTAGAACCTCACTAATTTGGCCTTCACTAATTCAAAGTATACTGTACAGCAGTCTACATTACTGGCTAATTTATGCATCTTTCACATGGACACAACATTAAAAAAGTTGAACAGTTTTTGGCGAGGTTCGAGTGTACATTACTGTACTTGGGATTTAAAATGATGCTCTATTGGTTTGCTCCAGTTACTTCAGTCTCCTTAGTTGTTGTGATAAGAAACTTTTTAAGCATACCGAGATTCAACCTCTATCACTTACAATACTGCATTTTTTCTTCAATACAGTAATTCTAAATTTACACTGTACAGTACTTTCAAACTAATGTATTTCTTATTTTGAATTTAACTTCTTACTTTTCAGCAAAATTCATTGTAAACTATAACCATGTGTTGTTCTCCACAGGACCTCTCTGTCATCGACCTGAATTCCAGTGTCAAAATGGAGGCTTATGCCAGGAAGACCGGAAGGGCAATCTTACGTCATGTGCCTGTCGTACTGGATTTACAGGATCGATGTGTGAAGTACCCATTGACGAAAGTTTCTGTGACAATGATAGTAATCCATGCCAGGTACAGACAATTTTCTGTAATACTATAGTAATGCATTTAGAATAGGATAAATTTTCATATTGTAAGAAAAGTGATCAGATGACACAGTATTGTATATCAAGTGTCATAAAGAGCTCATTAAAGGTGGAATTGTATTGGAGATTCAGTGTGAAGATGAATATAATTTCACTATTAGTACATTTAACACATGAAAAAATCTTAGCAGAGAATATCTAATACAGCAGTAAGAGTGATCAAATGACAGCAAATGATAAGAGCAGGCCAGTGTTCAAATATTACTCTGGCACTTACAACAGGTTGATGGAGGAGATGAGGGGTATTCACTGGCTTGATACACTGGTAAAAAAAATGTGGACACTACCCTGAACATCATAGTCAGTAAAGTGAACTGTTTAATTGATAAATATATATCCAAGACCCACTGGCTTCAGAATCACAAAGAGACTTATTACTCATGAGCCATGAGGCAGTTGACAAAGTTAAGAAGAAATCTCAGAAATTCAAGAGATGGGTCATGACAAATGATGAGCAGGAGAGAACAATGTATGCCAGATTCAGGAACTAAGTAAAGTCAGAGTGTAGAAGGGTTGAAAAAGAGTTTCAGAGGTGGATTGCAAGTGAGGTCAAGTCAAACTTAAAGGTTTTTTACCGTTTTGCAAAAACGAAATAAAAGACACGTGTGGGCATATCAGATCCGAGATTTGATAACGGTAGTTACACAAGATTCAGATCAGGACAAAACATAGGTGTTAAACAAATTCATATCCTTAGTGTTCGCAAGAGAGGACGTGAACAGTCTCCTTGCGTTTGAAGAAAGATGGTTTAACACAACGCTGATGCATATATTTTCTCAGAAGAGTGTACAGGTATTAGGAACAAATTATCAAAGCTGGAGGTTCATAAGAGCCTTGGCAAGGGGTGACTTAGAATTTATAAACACCTCAGAGGACATTTCTCAGTCGAGTATTCATACCTGGAGCTGGCGAATGCTCGCACCACCTAGGGGGTCACAACTTAAGGTTGAAGTAGCCAGAAGTTAAAGAATTTGTCAGGGCAGTCATTTTTGGAGTGAGAATTGTGAACTCTTGGAACAGTCTACCAGAGCATTGTGAGGACATCAAGTGTGACCTCATTCAAGACCAGACCTGACCAACACTGGCACAAGTACAGATATAGTCTGGAACCAGCACATCCCCAGTACAGTACATACTTGCCAACAGTTTATAACAGATGTGACCGACTGCCCAAGCGGCTAACGAGCCGATCACATTCAGTCATTATAATACAGTATACATGTAGCAGGAAAAGGTTATCAGAGTGAAGGAAAGTGTCACTGTAAGGAACACTGTGAGAGAAAATAGAAATCATATATAGTGATCACATTAGAATTAGATTGATTTTTGTATATGGTTTATGCATAACTTTAGGTGTTTTTATCACGGCCAACTCTCACTTGTTCCTAAACTGTCTCCAATGTTTGAGTATTCCATTAATTTATACAGTTATTATTTCAGTTATTTAGCATTATAATTCTTTGCTGACCACTATCACATACAACCATAGTGAGTGGTACTATAGTAAAGTATCTAGGAGATTAATACCTGTATTTTGTTTAGTTACTCTACATTACTGTATTTTTATTTACAACATTAATTAATTCTTGTCTCTGACCTACAGAACAATGCCACCTGCACTGTAACATCATTTGAGGACACATATGAGTGTCTTTGTCAGCCAGGGTACAATGGTGAGCACTGTGAGGTCAATGAAGATGACTGTGCGTCTCAGCCTTGTTGGCACGGTGGCGTCTGTGTTGATGGCATCTATGACTTCACCTGCAACTGTGAAGGCACTGGGTATGAACCTGTTTTATTTCTGCTCAGGAATGTTTTTAGTGGTCTGTAGTAAGGGGCAAATTTAACCTGTGAATAAATTTGAAGTATGGATATTCAGCTGAATACCTCTATGCATTTTTATTTCCAGTTAGCTTATAATAAGTCATGAAATAATAATATACGTACTTTCAGATATGAAGGGGCAATATGTGAAGAAAATATAGACGAATGTTCAACTTTAGATCCCTGTCTTAATGGAGCGACCTGCTATGACCACTATGGGGACTATGAGTGTGCTTGTGTACCCGGGTTTGGGGGAAAGCATTGTGAAATGGTGAGTTGCACTTCTGACTTTTTTTTAGTAAGCTAGTGTCAAAAAATTTCTAAACTTTACTTCTAGTTGAAAAGATATGATTTTGTTAATCTGTACAGTATTTTGTTTTTGAGTACCAACAGTTATTAGGATTTGTGTTCAGGACTATAATATATATTAGTATTGTACAGTACTGTATTAGTGTTTAACATTATATTTGTAAAATTAGTCAAATTTAAACTATGCCATGACAAACCTTTATACAGGTATTAATGTTGAGAATGATGTATAATTTTTTGGCATCTTAGAATACTGCATGTAGAAAGTGAAGAAAAATATTAATCTTTTGTTTTTTTTAGTTTTTTTTTTATTATTTTCTCATAGTTACCCCAGCCTTAACCCACTGATGGGTGACTACCAATTGTAATGTTAATTATTTGTAATGCACTTAAACCCAGCTTACTGTACACATCACTTTTTTCACCAGGAGGTACATGAATGCTCATCAGACCCTTGTCAGAATGGAGGGACATGTACAGACCTTCAGAATGCTTACAAGTGTACGTGTATGCTTGGATTTGAAGGAGACAATTGTGAGCACAACATAAATGACTGCTATAATGTATCGTGCCCAGAAAATTCGAACTGCAAGGATGGTGTTACCAGTTATGTGTGTGAGTGCAGCCCAGGCTTCTCAGGTGAGGACAATAATGTGTACAGTTTTCTGTCTACTGTAAACAAAAAGTTGACAGGTTTTATGCAACATTTTGTGTACTACTATACTAAACTGGGTATTGTCATATATTAGGATAGATTTTCTTTATTAATGTGGGTAGTGTCTGTGTCATATAAAAAGGTTAAGCAAGATAATGTTTTCTTCCTCGTTGCTCTGGCCATAATAATTATTTTTCACCTCTAAGGTATAGCTTATGTTATTTTTATAAGAAAATAAATGAAGGAAACAAGCAATCTATACATAGATGGTTGGTTAATCAGGTAGTTTTCATTGCTGCAGCAGACACCCTCTACCCTGTCTTACACCATCACAACTTTTGCCAAATTGATGGCCATAAAGAAATTTTCATTGTCTTTACTTTAATTTTATATGTTCGTCAGATTATTTTTTGTCATGTGTTTCCTGACACATACTGTACCGAGGTAAACACAAGAATTTTAGAGTGAGAATAGACAAGATCAAGATGTTTAGCTGCTGCTTCTATACTTTAAAGGTGTTTTTAATGAGAAAAAAAATATTTACTAGTACAGTACTGTACAGTAATTTTCTTTAGAAAGCAGTTTATGTGGTGGATGAAATGAATTTCCATTTACCTCTATATAATTTCCTGAAGTGTGTTGTCGCAGCAGGACACTGTCATCCTTCTGGCTAGATGTAGTTAGATGAGCTTATATAAAGGAAAGAAGAGAGTTTCCCTTACTTGAAGTACAGATACAGTATTCAGTTAGGAAATAGGAATATTCACAGTCAAATGCTTCTTTTTACATACAAATATCTTCCAGGTACCCCACCAAACTGTCTTGAGACTGATGAATGTGAATCATCTCCGTGTCAAAATGGAGCCTTGTGTTATGACCAAGACAATTCATTTACCTGCATTTGTGCTCCAGGATTTACAGGTGAATTCTTATTGTGTGAATCAAGGCATTTGTCTTGTTTTGAGACATTTATTAGCCTTACAGTAATGATCACTTCATGACTAGAAAGGTAGAAGTGCAGATGACTCGAGATAATGAGATTAATTGTATTTATAAAAAAATAAATATTTGATATAGCTATGACTGTAGTGATAAGTCAACCTGGGGGTCTTTTATTGTGGCCACACCCACAGAGATTTCACAGATAAGATAATGCAGTACTTAGCTATCCTCTTCAATTGTCAGCTTACTAACAGGTTGGGCAGTCAGTCTGTTCTCTTTTAGTGTTGGCACGTACTGTACATGAACTGTACTGGGATAAGATAACTACATAACTGCCTATTTTTTTGCATTACTGTACAATTCATTGAAAAATATTTAAATTTATTCATCAAACAGGAAGCAACTGTGAAACCAACATTGATGACTGCTTATCGGATCCTTGCCAGAATGGAGGAACTTGTGAGGATGGAATAAACTCTTATTCATGTCAGTGTCTACCAGGTTTTGAGGGAGACTATTGTGAAGATAACCGTGATGAGTGTGCCCTTAATGTTTGTGTTCATTACCAAAATTGCCATGATCTGGTAAGCAAATTTTCAGTTGTTTATAGTAATTATTGTCAGGAAAAATGATATACAATTTGTAAAATATTGAAATACTGAACACTGAGGCATAATGAGGAAGGCTACTGGGAAAATAACCAGATTGAGAGTGTACTGAATGCTTGTGTTTATGCTTAGAATTGCCATAATCTGATGAACATATTTTCATTCAATAGTTAATGGCAAATACTGTCAAAATATATAATGTTTGTGTCATAAAAAGGAAACATTGATTCATAAGGCACTTGCAGGGTAAGAGAGAGTTCTTGTGTAATATATGCTTATCAAGTATATTAATTTAGGAAGGTATTAAAAGATGGTAACTTGCAGAAGATGAAAATGGCTGTTATAAGTCTTTACAAGGAAGACATTTATATTTTCTTTGGACAGCAGAAACAAGGGAGTCTTATGCAAATTTGCTGCTTAATTCATACCTAAAAAGACTCGCAACAACATAAACAATTTGGATAAAAGCATGACCAAAGATTTTATATTTATTTATTTTTTTTAACCTTTGATCTAAATCATAACCATCCATTTAGAACACTGTCAATAGCTTATCCTATTTCAAAGCAGATTTTTTATTGGTGAATACTATTTCTGTTGAACACCTTTATGTACTTATTATATATAGATTTTTATTTAATTCCTGAATGCTTTTTATAATTTCAACCAATGCTTTTCATGCTGCCAAATCATTTTGTCTCAGGACTACAATACCGTAAGTTGTTGTGTTAATTTTACCATGACTGCTTTACCCCTAAGGCCTTCATCAGTTGCTAGGAATTAACACACCTAGGTAACATGCTGTGCGTCGCATTCTGACTTGAACAAAAATAGTATTCTCATATATTTATGAAACTGCACTTTTGGAATGAACAAGGAAATATAGAAGACAGAAGAGGCAAGTTCTTATCACAACCACCCTCTCTAAAGGAGTTTCCTGGGGGGAAAGCCGAGTGAGGTTTCATAGATAAGACAAGAAAAGAGTACAGCATTTTTTCCCAAATTTGCAGTAGGTTGTCATGTGTACAGTTTTCTCTCAAACTTCTTCACCTGATAGTTTGACATACTTCATTAATGCCTGTGAATATATAGTTAGTCCACCATCTTAAGTTCCTTGTATCGCTCATAATGTGACACTTTTAGAAATTAATATGCTTTGTTCATAAATTCCTTCTTGTCTTCATACATTTAATGAAAGTGGTGTTCTTAAATTATTTGTTTAAATACATATTCTAAACCATTAGGGAGTGTTGACCCTGCCTTGCCTGCTAAGAGGGCACTTGAAAGTTTCACATGTAATGTCCATTTCCCACTGTAAAAGCAGGTTGGCCATTGGAAGAGCATCCAGCTGTAAATTTTGCTTCAAATTTGCCTGATGGCAAGTGTGGAAAATGGTTGTAAAATGGGGGTGATGGCGATGGTGAGTAATGACAAGTTTAAATGTTTCAGATTGGTGACTATGAATGTGAGTGTGAGGCTGGATGGTCTGGGAAGAACTGTGATGAAGAAATAGATGAATGTGCCTCATCCCCGTGCCTTAATGGTGCCTCTTGTAAGGACCGAGTCAATGGCTTTGACTGTACTTGTCCTCCAGGATTTACTGGTAAACTTACATTTGGCATTTTATGTAACCTAGGGTAAGCTAAGTACTTATTTCCTTAAAGAAAATAAACTTTACGTAAGTACTGATGTAGCTAAGTGGTTTGTGTTCTGCTGCAGTCTTTTTTCTTCTCAGTTTTAATAATATTACTATTGAGTGCTTTTATTATGTATATTTCACAATGTTCCCTCAAGAGTGCAATTGTTTCCTTTGGGTATTTGTTATAATGTGTTCACTGTGAATCTTCTTTAAAGGTTAAACCTTAATGAATAGATCCCCGTTTCCATAAAATCATCAGGAGAGACTAAAGGTAAGGCTTGCAATTAAAGGACATTCACTGACAGAATTTTTAGCAAGAATGCCAATGGCATTAACACTCTCATCCTTTTAGTGCTAGAAGTTGCTAATTAGAGAATCTTTTGTAAATCTTCCTGTTCTCTTATGTTTTGTCTCGGCTTTTTCGAAACACTAATTTCTAAGTCTGCCTCTCAGTTCCTTGGAATGTATTTGTGATATTTCTGAGGCTTAAAGATGACTGCTTTGAAGTCCAAAGCTAATAACACTCGATATTTTCAAACTTGTTTCTTCACATGGCAGGAGAGACGTGCCAGACAGACATAGATGAATGTGAATCAAATCCGTGCCTTAATGGAGGGACATGTTCTGATGGTGTAAACAATTATGTGTGTGAGTGTGGAGAGGATTACATGGGCATCATCTGTGAAGAGGAGTATGATGCTTGTGCTTCAAACCCATGTCAGAACTCTGCCTCCTGTATCCCCTCTCTAGGACCTCAAGACTTTTACTGTGAATGCATTCCAGGTGAGCTCGTTATATACAGTACAGTACAGTACACTAAAAGAAATAATGAGGAGCTCAGCAAGTTCCTTATTAAATACTATCTATCTGTCTATCTATCTATCTGTGTATATATATATATGTGTGTGTGTGTGTGTGCAAGGATTTACTGTAGGTGTGTGTGATCCAGGTATATGCTGATAACCACAGCATATATAATCATGAGCAGCGTTTGGGGGGTGGGGATGGAGGGTGCTAAGGCTATTGTGTCCCGTCCGTCCTGTGGTATTGATACTATCTGTTAGAAGTGTGTTAAGGTGAAGGTGTGGATCATGTGTGGGTGTTTGTTGTATATGTGTGCTGTATTCATTGTATGATATATATATATATATTTATATATATATATATATATATATATAATATGTTATGACAGTTTTAACAATATGAAATATTAAGTCTTAAACTAGAACATTAGTTGATTTCTAGCTGTATTATACATAGAGGAAACTTTTCTTATCAACATAAAATTAGCTCTTAAGTCTCCTGTATCAATGCTAATTTTCTATCTACTTCTATAAGTACATTGTAAGTAAACTTATATTAATAATGCATCTTATTTCTGAGTTGGTTGGAATATTTGATAGTGTAGAGATGATTGTCAGTCAAAGATAATGAAGTAAGCCGTGCTTGTCTCACTAACCCCTGAATGTAGGAATGACAGATTGATACTGATCGATAAGACAATTTTCTGTTATTCTCTGTAGAGTTTTGTAACAATTTATACAGATAAACCACAGTCCATCACTGTGTAATGTTTCAATTCTATTTTCAGGTTTTGAAGGATTGTACTGCAGTAACAATATCAATGATTGTTTTGATGTGACGTGTTCTGATGGTAAAGTTTGCTACGACATGGTGAACAGTTATGAGTGCCGCTGTCCAGAAGGCTTCACGGGGGAAAACTGCTCCATCAATATAGATGAGTGTGAGAGTAATCCTTGTCTCAATGGAGGAGAATGTCATGATGGAATGGCAAACTATAGCTGTGTCTGTCCTCCAGGTTACACAGGTAAAGGATGATAATTTATTGAATGATCACAGTACCTGGAATTTTTATTTCTTTATTTATTTATTTGTTATTTTTTTTTTTTTTTTTATTTGGAGTTTCTTCGAGTATTGTGGTAATTATCTGTTCCCTCAACAAGCAAAACAAAATCTGTGCTAATAACTTTTTATTCACATAATAACATTATCTTTCTGTATTCACACTGGTTTCATAAACAATACAGTATCATGCTATCACATATGTTTCTTGGACACAGTCTATCAGGTCTGCTGGACCTACTTTCACTTTCCATGAATACAGTAGAATGGATCTGTGCTTCTGGGAACCCAAGAATCCTTGTTTTACTCTTATTTCATGTTATTGTCATTTATATGGAGCTCCAGTAGTTTGTTTGCCTGTCAGTATTCAATTGACACTGTTATTGTCATTTGAAGTAGCTTGTAGTGTTTCTCATAATATATACTGTACAGCATTGTCATTTTAAAATAGACCCATTTTTTTTTTATGTGAATTGAACTTTTTCTATTAAATTCTGAGCACTAAATTTCTTTGTTGGAAACATTTGGTTTTGTATTAATGGAGGAAAGGTGTTGAACAAGTGGTGAAGCTTTCATAGTGAGTAGCTTCAAGTTAATCCTGCTTAATTCTCACTTTTATTTATTTATCTTATAAAAATGTTTATTTACATTTTTATTTATTTATTTTTTTTTTGCAGGACATAACTGTGAGGAGGATGTAAATGAGTGTGAGTTGTTACGTCCTTGTGTTAATGGTATCTGTGAGAACACCAATGGATCATACCAATGTTACTGTCGCCCTGGATTTTCTGGTGATCACTGCAACCTGGAATTTGACGAGTGCCTTTCTCGACCTTGTCGCAATAGTGGTACTTGCATCAACAGAATTAATGGTTATGAGTGTGTGTGTCAACCTGGCTTTACTGGCACTGACTGTGATATTGACATTGATGAGTGTGCAAGTGCCCCCTGTCAAAATAATGCTACCTGCTATGACGGTATTGCCACCTTCACTTGTGAGTGCCTGCCTGGCTTTACTGACAAGCTTTGCTCCACCAATATTGATGAGTGTGAGGTATGCATTTTATTTTTTGTTTCATAATTAGCATTTTGTTTGTCTTTTGGATTCTGGTACAATATTATAATCACACGTTGGATATTGCAGTAAGTTTATAGTACAATATCACTTTACACACTCAGAGTTTGCATCATTGATATATGCCCTCACTTAAGTTCTCACTAGCAAGCATGATGGAAAAAAATTTCCTTGTTTTATTTTTTTATTTTTTCATTCTTACTCTTGTCCGCAGTAATTCTTTTATTGTAAATAATTTGAATTCTTACGTTATCATTGTTTTTCACACGTTTTGAGGATGTTGTAATAAAGAGTATGCTCACCTGTTACATTCTAGTCCGACCCTTGTATGAATGAGGGTGTGTGCACTGATGGCATCAACCAGTACACATGTAACTGTAGTGACACCGGCTTCAAAGGACCACAGTGTGAGATAAATATTGATGACTGTGAGTCATCTCCCTGCCAGCACGGATCAACTTGTTCCGACCTTGTAAAGGATTACGAATGCCTCTGCTATAATGGTTATGCAGGTTTGTCTCCTTTCTCAATTTTTTTTGTAATGTTCTTTGAGAGAGTATGTTGATTTTTTGTTTTAAGTTACATGGGAGTTGCAACTAGCATTGATTTAGTAATAACATCCTTCAAACCTTGCCATTCTTTGTTTTTTGTCTTTTTCCCCTGTTATTTATTCCTGTACTTCCAAAGTACAATATATCTCTCTCACTCCCTTTTTTTCATAATGCAGACAAGATCCACAAGTTAAGCTAACACTGAGATTTCACATGTTTGAGGTGTTATTATAGATAGACAGATGGATAAACTAAACATTATCTTCTTATCTACAATTTAGTCTTCCTTGACTAGATTAATCAATGTACAACCAGTCTTATTTAACACTCACCAGAGGTGGCAGAGGAAATTATTTGTAGAAAATTGCTCAAAGTATAATGGCAGTGTGCAAATTTGAATTTTAAAAGAAACTGTTAATTTGAAACAATTTTAATTGGAATGTGATCCCTAATACACAGCAGCTGTAATTAAACAAAATAACAGAATCAGAAATGACGTAAACAGAGGATTTACTGTGCTGGGATACAGGCTTTTATACACTGGTCTGTCTCTAGTATCTATTATTTAAAGTTTTTCTCTCATGGTTACCTATATTGTTTCTCATTGTTCCTTCCTGAAGGCTTGGCTGGCATCTTAGACATGGTTTAGTAGTACTGTACTGTAATTTCATATAGAGAATTAAAAACACAAAGGTAAAAATATTGCTGTCACTTGCATATGTGATCACAACAACTGGAGATGAAGAAACTGGCGTAAGATATTCAAGTCACAGTGGGAAGAAACAAAACAGGTACAGCATGTCTCAAATCCCAGGAAATCAACACCACATATTTTCTGGCCACGGTCAAAGATAAAGCCACAAGAAAATGCTTGAGTACCTGTATGAATTCAGGCACATTCTGGGAATCATGAATTCAGTATGACAGACTATTTTTTTCACAGTAAGCAGAAACACGGCTACATCTCGGAGAAAAAATTACCTAGATGGCTTTCCCAGATCTGGTTTGTGGAGTTAACTGGTTAAAAGGTGTTTAGTTAATGAAGACTTTCTTGTATGAGGAAACTAATGTATCGCTTGTAATAATTGCTGATTACTTACATTAACACAAGCTACCAGCAAACAACTGCAGATTGAAGTCTAGTGGTTGTTCAGTATTTTTTTACACCATTATTTGTTACATGCTCTACATACAGGGGTGTTTTTAAAACTTTAACTACTGTACTGTAGTTCATAATATTCTACAGTCAGACTTGTACTTGAGTGCTGATTGATATTGTAGCAGTGTATGTTGAATTAAGTATCTATTATTAAAAGCTTTGACCACCTTATTGCAGTACAGATATTATCATTTGCATGTTTTTATTCTAGGGAAGGACTGTGAGGAGGACATTCAAGAATGTGCAAGTTATCCATGTCTTAACGGTGCTACTTGTCTGGAGCGCAGCAACTTGACCCTTTATGAATTAGACATATTCTCCAACTTTACCTATGAAACTGCTGGAGGTTTTGTATGCGAGTGTATTCCGGGTTTTACAGGTGTGTAAACGTTTTATTTTATTTGTCTGCTGCACACAAAGTATAATACAGTAGTAATTATTTTGTTGTTGCTTAACATAATTTAACTTGTGTCTTATAATTTGGAATAGATGAAAATAAGGATATTACAAATCTTCTAGTTGCATTTTAAAACTTTTGACACTTTGGACTGAATTCATATGTCTGCCCATTGTAGAGGTCACTGCTTTTGGTTATAAAATGGTGTCATGGTTGTCAGTATAAGTGAGAATATTGCTCATTGAATATTGTCCATCTAATAAACTACCTGTAGCAACATCTGGTAATAATCATCATATACCCTGTACAGCACAATGATGTAAAATTAATTTATTATAATTGCATACCCTTTGAGATACTTGAAGTGATGGCATTGTAGCTCTGAATTCATTGTGTTATAAAGCTGTTGTTATGGCAGTTGTTGATACTTGTGAATATTAAAGATATTGGTCTAACTGTGATGGAGTTAGATCTGGTAGAATTCGGCTTCAGAAATGAACATGACAGTACAGTCGACCCTTGTTAATTCGGACCCCTTTAATCCGGATTTCGGATAATTCGGACAAAATCTGAACGAACTTTTTTTTTTTTTTTTATAAAGATTTGTAGGAATATTACCTACGCGGACCTTAAGCTAAAATTCTGGTCCACCCACTGCTGGGATAAAACACCAGCATCTTTTTGGTCAAATGTAACATCTCCACCACTAGTGTGGGGGGGGATGCAACTTTTAGCTTCAGACATGAAAAATATTTACCATTTACTGCCAGTAAACAATGGAAATGTAAAATTTGTACCAATTAGTAATGAAAAGTTGTGCAGTTCCTTCAGCAAATGAAGCTCACCAACTTACAATAGACTAAATTACCTTACAACGTGTTTTCTGTAGTCTAAGTTGAAGTTCTTAGCACAGGCTAACTTATCATATCATATACGGTACCACAGTTCTCATTGATCTACAAAAAATACCGGGAATAAAAACCTTTTTGATATTTCACACTTGATATAATACCCGGTAATCTTCTTCAACCTCCTATTGTTTACAACGACGCATGACACCACCAGCTGTTGAGTATCAGCTACACCGTACACTTGTTTTTTGAATCATTTTCAGTTAAAAAACTGTTACATCACATGTATATTTTACCTTAACTGTGCCTGAATGAATATATTCTCGGAAATAAATAGTAGTTTTGCTGAAACGTGATGTATTTTAATGTAAAATAGGATAAAATACATGACGAAAACAAAAGACTTTACCTAACCTTCCGATGTTCTAGAGAAGTTACTCGTTTTTTTAATAGTTTTTGGTTAAAATACTGTTATATTACAGTGGTATTCTATTCATACTGTGCTTGATATAATGCATTCACGGAAATGTAATATTTTTGCTGAAATGACGTAGGTGTTAGTAGAAGTGGGATAAAATCGTGACGAAAACAATAACTTTCGCTTTTTTTCGTTCAAAAGATGTTACCGTAATCGCTTTTCGATTGGTTTTCAGTTAAAAAACTGTTGTATTACATTAATATCCTATCCTAATTGACTTGAATAAATACTACGATACCATATTTCTGAATATTTTCATTAAAATCCATCCAAATCATTTTCCTTGTCATCGTCTGCAGCATCAAACAGCTTCTCCCAGTCCTCTCCTTGAACAGGGCTAGAGGGTACGTGTTTTTCGAATCGTTTTCAGTTAAAAAACTGTTACATCACACGTATATTTTACCTAAACTGCGCCTGAATGAATATATTCTCGGAAATAAATAGTAGTTTTGCTGAAACGTGATGTATTTTAATGTAAAATAGGATAAAATACATGACGAAAACAAAAGATTTACCTAACCTTCCGATGTTCAAGAGAAGTTACTCGTTTTTTTTATAGTTTTTGGTTAAAATACTGTTATATTACAATGGTATTCTATTCATACTGTGCTTGATATAATGCATTCACGGAAATGTAATATTTTTGCTGAAATGACGTACGTATTACAGTGGAAAGTGGGATAAAATCATGACGAAAACAATGACTTTGAAATATATTGCAATATTAACCCCTAAATCGGTTAATTCGGACAATCGGCTAAAACGGACACCCTTCCCCCCCTATTAGTCCGAATTAACGAGGGTCGACTGTAATGAGTTTTCCTCTTTCTTTTTTGCATACAATTTTACTGTGTATAATTTGCCTAAATACAACATCCCATTACGGTGTACTGGACTATCTCCACTTGCTGTAGAATTTAGCATGTCTTTACGAGTTAATAATGCAGTTTTGGCAAAGTTATGTCCTTAAACTGTTCAACTGGATGTATTGTTATTTAATTCAGAATTTTTTCATAATTTCAGGTGATTTGTGCGAGATTAATATCGACGAATGTGAGAGCGATCCATGTGTGAATGGTGTTTGTTATGATGGCATCAATGATTACTCATGCCTGTGCTGGCCAGGCTATGAAGGTGTTAATTGTGAAATTGAAATAAATGAATGTGAACTATACATGCCATGTGTCCATGGATCTTGTGTTGATAAGGTAAGGAAGAAGCATGAATATTAATTAATGCTCGATCACATTCTTCTTTGGACGAAATATAAGTTTACATGCCATTATCCTAAGTAATTTTTCTTCGTGTACTGTGCATATTCTATATAGCCTCACTCATCATCCCATTTCTTTAGAGTTGTAGTTTTTTAACAACTGATATTGAAGTTATTGCATGCTATTAATATTGTAGGATTATGCAGTTTAATTTTCCTTGCATTTCAGGTGGCAGATTATGTGTGTCTATGTCAGGAGGAATTTGGTGGTAAGAACTGTTCAGTTGAACTTCTTGGCTGTAATGGCATTGATTGCTTCAATGGAGGCACTTGTGAGGCGCTACTCACCAATGAGACAATACATGACTTCGTGTGTCATTGTGAGCACGGTTTTATTGGACGGAACTGTGAAGAGTCGACTACACTCTCGTTGTCTGGCAACTCGTATGTTCTCATCAACTCTCAGCGGCAAGAAGGTAATTGTTGTTCATGAGCTCCAGGTGATTCCACAACCTCAAAGCATCATAATGCGTACAGTCAACATCTTGAAGCATTTTCCACACTTGTATGGGTTAGCCACAGTTACCTGATGGCAGCTCTCCATGCTGCATGGTCTTTTGCAGCCTCACTTGTTGGGTTTTTAACTCTAATATTAATTATTTAAAGCATTGATATTTATGTAAATTTGCAGTTATTATGCAGTAGCTGAGAGGTAGTAATTTTATTTTAATTCATATTTTCCTTATACAGTATCCTTGCACAGCATTAGTTCAAATTTCCAAGAATGATTTGTTTCCATTTTTTTCTATCTCTGTTATTCTATAGTTATAAAAATGAAGTCACTTGAGTGATCACAACTTTAAATAAAATGGGATACTAAAAGAAAATAAGTTTTGTATGTGCATGTACAGTAGTTGTGTTATGTAGACGTGTAAAAGATGATCAATTCAAAGTTGTTAATATATATTTTGTTTTTGTTTTTTCTCCAGGATATGAACTTTCATTCCGATTCCGTACTACTCTAGCCAGTGGGATACTTGCTGTGGGACAAGGGGAGACTTATATCAAACTTGAACTTGTACAAGGTCGACTAAATTTCCACTCCTCCCTCCTGAACAAGTAAGATCGTCTGAACCACAGTGAGAATATTTGGGGTAAAATTTTGAATTGTGGGAAATTTTAATTATATTCTTATTTTTTAATTTTTTCTGTACAATATAGTATTTTAATGACTGTTGGCACTAATATATATATATATATATATATATATATATATATATATATATATATATATATATATATATATATATATATATATATATATATATATATATATATATATATATATATATATATATATATATTCTATATACAGTATATTCTCATTTACAGATGGGAAGGTATTTTCACTGGTTCTGACCTCAATGATGGGCAGTGGCAGAATGTGAGAATGTTGGTGAATGACAGTCATGTTTCACTCTCGGCAAACGATGATGAAACAATTTATCCAATTAATCCAGTACAGACCATCAACAGCTCTGATACCTCCTTCTCAACAACTGTTTTGGGTAAGTTTTTTTTTATTTTTTTTTTTTTTTATATATTAGTTCATATATTGGTTGATGAGACTGGACCTGTATGCCTTAGCTGAAATGTTATTGGAATGTGTGGGATAAGGTGGCTCAATGGATTAGTGCTCTCCTCTTATCCTAAGGTTCACAGGATGGTGCCCAGGGTGCATATAGTCCACCCAAGTGTAAAAGGAGACGTAACTTTACAGTTGGAGAACTGACGATGGTTGAATATAGTGTTGGCCACACTGCCTTCTTGTGAACTGAAACAAGGATAAGCCTAAAGCTGTATATCCCTTAACAAGCCACTTTCACTTTTATTCAGCTTTGGGTACAGAACGTGATGTCTTTGAATTGATTTTCTTTTTCTTTTTTTTCTTTAAAACACTTCATAAAAGCTTTTCAAAGGATTTAAATTTAAGGTATGCACAAGAATGGAGAAGTATGCTGTGATGCTCATTACTAATATTATTAGTATTATTTTTTTTTATGAATCTAGTAAGTCTTAAATGTGATATTTAGCTCCATGAGGCTTATGAGGAATTCAATGTTATTGTATATACAGGGTATACGAACAGTGTATTTATTATTCACATATGGCTAACTGATTAAAATTAGTACTGGGACTTAGGGGAAAGTAAGTGTGTGTGTGTGTGTGTGTGTGTGTGTGTGCACGTGGTCTAATCTTTCTGGTCACGCTATATTAGAGTAGGAAAGGGCTTGAAAAGTGGTAAAGAAACAGGATTCTTTTGTTAAGAAGTTAGGTGCTCAAAAGAGGAGACTTAGTAGATTTATATTCTAACAGGTGGTGCGACTCCAACACTAAAGATATTATCTAAAGGAGCACCATTCTTCACTGGCTGCATGGAGGATGTCATGGTGGATGGCTCAATCTTGATACCTAGTACTGTACCAGAGCCCATGAGGGTATGTACCACTTAAATTGTTTATTTAAAGTGTTCATTCATCTTTGCTAGCTAGAAGTAGATAGTAATAATATCATATGGATTTTTTTTAAGCGTAAAGTATCTGATATAATGAGTATTCTTACCATCACAGCAACAGCTCGCAGCTTACTACTTTATGTTTAAGTCAGTAATAAACAAAAATTTTTAGAGAAGTGTTGTAATCTTTCCTCACTGATGATAATTTATTTAGCTGCTTTTCATTTTAATTCACTGTTAACATGTTTAAATGATATAAGGATGCCATTTGCAGTTTAACTCTGCTCTTTTGTACCTTAAGGTATCGGTTGATGAGGGATGTCCACGTGTAGAACAATGTATTCCTAACCCTTGCCTGAATGATGGTGAATGCGTGGATTTGTGGACCAAGTACCAATGTAATTGCAAGAGGCCATACCTTGGGAACACCTGTCAATTAAGTAAGTGTCTTAAGCAAATTATATCATGTGTTCTTTGTGACATTTCATGTGCAACATAAATGTTATCATAAGGTTCACCTGCATTATATCATAAATAGTAAATACTTAATTTGAAGTTGACACAACAGTTTAGATTTTAAAACGTGCTCTAGCAACTCCTAGATTTAGATAATGCAATTAAGATGCCATCAGTACCAAGGAAGATTGTATGGTGTGATGAAATCAACTAAATCAGACCCTTTAGATCATATACAGTACTGTTTTCAATAGGAATGTGCTTAATTTATCCTGAGAAGTGACTGCCATCAACTGGGTCTTCTCAGCATGTAAATTTAACTTTGGTTCTTGACAGATGTGAGAGAGTGACACAACACCAAAGTATTCTCCCACACTGCAAAATAATGCATTTAGTAATAGAGTTTCTTAATGTCTTTATGATGAGCATGATTGATGCTGTCAGGTCTTGGACTGCACTGTAACAGTTCACAGATTTTCACTGAAGAGAGCTTTTTTATCTATAAGAAAGCAAATGTTTTAATTACTGATAAATCCCTTTTGGGGAAATTGCTCGAGTGATCAGTGATTGATAGTGCTGGAGTTTTCAAGTCTGAAACTTTATTAGCACTGCATTACTTTAATTTTCTGTTAAGGAATTAACTTTATAATTTCACTTTTTCTCTCTTGCATGGACATATAAAATGTATTTGACAGGTGGTATAACAGTATAGCACATGCACTTGTATGATGGCTTTTAGCATTTTTGCACAAGTGGCATTAGTTAGCATTCATTTTATGTTGTAGGAAGAATGAAACAGTTAAAAGTAGTAATTAATATAACTCAAACTTGGTCTCGCCCTGTTGTTCATTGGGTGGTTTAAATACTGTCTCTCGGCTTGAAGAATTTTCAGACACTCTTAATCTTATATGTAATGTAATCTTTCCCCCTTTCAGCTCACTTTATAATATTTTGTTTTGATCTGTGATTTTTATTTATTTCATTTTATTTCATTACTTTAATTTCTTTTATATGATAAATATTTTATATTCAATGCACCTGCCATCTTCATCTTTTCAAGCTTATTATTTGTCATGTAATCATACTTCCTTGCTCTGAAAGTTTTCACTATTAGATAATTCTAATCACTTGACACTATAACACAATTCTTTCAAATATTTTCCAAATAAATTCTATCACACATTGGCACCTTGACATTTTCCTGTTGACTCAGTTATTCTGTCTTCTGTGCACAACCCTCAATGATGCACAGAATCACTCCTCAGTGTTTTGTAGCAACATGTTTAGACACTAAATTTTACAGCCCTTTTGTGCTTCTGTTTCTTGCCATATTATTACTGGGTGAGCTTTATTTTTCAAACATGTTATCACTCAAGATCTATGGTGAGTTTTTGAAGAGTTCAAACTACTTCTCTTTGAACTGCTTGTTGGTAGTCAGGAGAGGAAGCTTTGCTTTACTGTTCCTTTACTTACATGTCCTTCTTCAATTTTTGTAGGAGGAGCGACATGGGAAGCGTCACTTTGTAGGTCTATTTTACTGCACTTGACTGAGCTTTTCTTTTCTTTGTTTTAAAAAAAAGTTGTATTGTAGAGTTAATATTTGATTATGGTTATTTGTTTTTAATTTAGATTGTGTTGTGAGTTTTCATAAAGTAGTAGTGTAGACATGATTTTGTAAGTTATTGATGTAGGATTAGATAAACACACTCTTTGTATTGATAGTCTTTTGCTGTGATTTTTTACTTCAAGACAGAGTATTTATCTTAGGCTTAAGAAGAAGGGATATAACATTTAATTAAAGATATTTTCAAAGACCTAAGCTTGCATTATCTGTATTATATTGGGTTCCTGTTGGTAATTGAAGATATGGGGAAGCCAGTCGATCCTAATAAATGTAGTTAATCAACAATGAACTTTTTACTGAAATTTGTTTGTGTCTCAGGAAGCTTTAGGGCATGAGACGTGGTAAATTGACATTAAAATCAACTTGGCTAGAAACTTGATATATATAAAGAATTTGGTGGAGCAGTGGGTAGTTCGCAATATGGGGCAGTGGGTAGCTAGAACTATGTGGGGGGGGGGGTGCACACCCTACCCAGGGTACACATACATCATCAGTTTATTCATGGCAGATGGTCTCAGGTGGCATTATTAAGGAGATATACCGTAATTAGATGTTTTATTAACTCCATTTATTGCATTTTAAACATTGTTGATTCACTGTCATATTTGTAAATTTGCTTAAAAATTTATATAGCTTTTTTGTGTGGAGAGAAATGTATTATTCTCTTACAAATTATGGTATTCTTAAAGCTTTAGATCAATACAGTACATATGGTAGCAAATAGCTGGTAGTTTACTACTGCTGCTAAATATGTCTTACTACTTCTTTGTTTACCTAGCTTCTTCAGAGGAATCATTGAAAAAAGTAGCTCCCAAAATATTCGTACAGTATTAATATGAAGTAATGCTATACAGTCTTATTAACTTGTATACATTGTAGTCAGTTTTATATTTTCTTTGATTTAAAATTATAAATATTTGGTACCGTATTAAAAAAAATACTGTAGTTATTATATACTGTACTGTGTCCACTTATGAGCAATTTGCAAATTTTTTTGTAAATGCTCATAATTTCAGTTTTTTAAATTCCTTCAGTGGCTGACTGGGTCAAAAATTTCTTCCGGGAAAATTTGTAAAAGGGCCCACTCAAAAGGGTCCAAAAGGGCCCACTTAATCCCAAAACGCAGTCAAAGGAACCATCACTTTGGGGCCCACCGGGAAATTTCCCGGTATCCCGGTGGGCCAGTCCGCCACTGCATTCCTTGTTTATAATTTAACAAACATAAGTAAAGATTCAATGACAATAATTCATATTTTTGTATTATAAATTATATTATTTTGTAAGCCAAAGTTGTCTGTTCTGATGTACAGTACAATTAGTACACTAGAACCTCACTAATTTGGCCTCCACTAATTCACAGTTTTATGGGTAATTTGAATGGAATAGGGTCTCAAGGATGTCGAATTAGTGAGGTTTAAGCGTACTGTAGAGGCATTTTTCCTACAGGTTGTACCTCTCTAGTCTGGCATTCTGTGGTCCGGAAACTCCTGTGGTCTGGAACGATTTTAGTTTGTCCAATAGGTATATAGGCAGTTTTTTTACTTATCTGAATTATTATTATTATTACAGGAGTATTAATTTTTGCCCCTCAGGCCCCAATGTGGGTCAGTGACCTATGCCCGGGTGGGCTAATCCCCTAAAAAAAACAACAACAAAAAGCCGCGGGAAATTAAGGTTTGTTTACATCCGGCAGTCTCTCTCTCTCTCTCTCTCTCTCTGCTTGTCTATACAGAGTACAACATTTAACCCTTCAATATATATGAGCAGTAAATAAGTGTTGCTTTCATATTCTTATGTAGAGTAATGACGATATATTTTCACATGTGCGCACTTACATACGAGCAGTCTCACTTTTTTTTTTTACCATTAATGGTTAGCTACTTATATTGTTCCATTTATTAACATTAAATAACATTACAGGTACTTCAAGCAACCATATTCATTTTTTTACATTAATTTTACTACAGCTAAACTCAGGGTCTTATTTTCTTCAGTTTTATATGTAGAACCAATCAGTCACTGGTTTCGTAAGCTTTAACATAAACAATGCCGGCAGCCGTCTTGTCTCCTCTAATATTCCACGTATTATTAATAAATTGTATTGTTAATTTTGCACACACATACATTAATTCAATAAAAACAAATTCAGAAACATTAATTAAAATATATATGAACAGTAAATAAGTGTTGCTTTCATATTCTTATGTAAAGTAATGACGATATGTTTTCACGTGTGCGCATGCGCACTTACATATGCGATCTCTCTTTTTTCTTTACCATTATCGTTAGCTACTTCTATTGTTCCATTTATTAACATTAAATAACATTACTTAAAACAACCATATTAATTTTACTACAGCTACAACCAAGGTCTTATTTTCTTCAGTTTTATATGTAGAACCAGTCAGTCACTGGTTTTGTAATCAACGAGAACAATGCTGTGTCATTTCCTCGTGTGTTTTAATATTCTACGTATTATTAATGAATTGTATTGCTCATTTTGCACACATAAACATTAATTCAATAAAAAAGACATTCAGTAATAAACAATAATGAATCTTTTGTACATAAGAGAAATGACGCTGTTTACACGATTATGCACGTCGTCTGCACGTTGGCGGGCCGTTCAAACCCGTCGAAATTCAAGTTTCCGCCGTCAAAATTTTTATTTATTTTATTTTTTTGTGTTCCAATAAAATACGTTAAGAATTAAAAACTCGCGAAATTTGAGAAGCTACTATACGACATAAGAATATGAAAGCAACACTTATTTACTGTTCATATATATTTTAATTAATTTTTCTGAATTTGTTTTTATTGAATTAATGTTTGTGTGTGCAAAATTAACAATACACTTTATTAATAATACGTGGAATATTAGAGGAGACGAGACGACTGCCGGCATTGTTTATGTTAAAGCTTACAAAACCAGTGACTGATTAGTTTTACATATAAAACTGAAGAAAATAAAACCCTGATTTTAGCTGTAGTAAAATTAATGTAAAAAAATTAATATGGTTGTTTGAAGTACCTGTAATGTTATTAATGTTAATAAATGGAACAATATAAGTAGCTAACCATTAATGGTAAAAAAAAAAGTGAGACTGCGCGTATGTAAGTGCGCACATGTGAAAACTTATCGTCATTACTCTACATAAGAATATGAAAGCAACACTTATTTACTGCTCATATATATTGAAGGGTTAATTGTTGTACTCTCTATAGACAAGCAGAGAGAGAGAGAGAGCAGCTGAACTGCCGGATGTAAACAAACCTTAATTTCCCGCGGCTTTGTTTTTTTTTTTTTTATAAGGGGATTAGCCCACCCGGGCAAAGGTCACTGACCCACATTGGGGCCTGAGGAGCAAAAATTTAATACTCCTATAATAATAATTCAGATAAGTTAAAAAAAAAAAGAAGCTGCTTATCTACCTATTGGACAAACTAAAACCTTTTATACTAAGGTAACCCTACCCTAAGTAAAAAGGCAAATGCGTGAACTGCCACAAAACATGTACCCTGTATGGAAGTGGTTTAAATGATCAATGAATACACATAGATATTATACAGTACAGCATATGCAAATTTTATAAAATCAAAATCAAAAGGGCTTACCTGAAAGCAAGATGTTCATGGAACCAGTGTAGGAGAGAGAAGGATGCCTTAGCGAGATGCAGGAAAAGGCTCGTGAACTAGCTGGCAAGATTATTATTATCACAAATTATATTGGCATCCCCTTCTGGCAATAAGCTCAACCAGCTGTACCATCAAAATGGATAATTGAATAGTTAAGTATTTAAATGATGATAAAAATATATGATTATGACGTTATGATATGGCAAATAATAGGGATGCTGGGTGGGCAGATTTGATTCGCAAGCAAAAGACGCTGAAGCTAGCGAGAGATGCTGGGTGGGTTGGCTCGCACAAGACCAAAGTGTAAGAGCGATTCACGGGGTCAGACGTTTATAAGTGGGGTTGCTTACTATGAATTTGCGTACTCTGCGACACGGCTATAATATCCTCGTAAGTGTAATTTTAAAAGTTGTGTATTAGCCCCTTGAGTATTTATAATGACTGCATAATTCCATGTCTTCTTGCTTAAGGGAATTGGTCATCATATTCAAAGGGTTAAGACATCATACTATCTTACGTAATGGGCTAGTTCCTTGTATTGTCTTAGGTTTGCAGCATGAAAAACAAACTTGGTGTTGATATTTTTCTTGGTTCCTTACCGTGTGTATTTTATGATAAGTGTTTGTTGCTGGTGACTTGGGCCACCCTGCACTGTAGCAGCAGACAACTTCGGAGAATGAAATTAAGATTAGCACATTATATGAGAAGATTGTTCTCTTAGAGATATAATGTACTGTACATTCTGAACAACAGTGGATAAAGTGATAAAATTATCAAGCCTATATCAGAAAATATCCTTAGTTCACAGTATTGTACAAGAATGATGGTTTATAGTCCCTATTCTTATATGAAAATTTGATTGAGCAAAATTTTTTTTCTTCATATTCTCCACAGGCAGCTTTGTTATTGCTTTTTAATATTCAAAACTTTTCACTCTTTCAAATAAGTTTTGTTCTATCTATAAGGCAGAGATAAAATTGCAAAATTTCCTCTGCACACATTACTTACCATTGTCTCAAAATCATTCTATCTTACAGGCTTTACTCCCGCTACTTTTGGGAATGAAGACACAAAGGACAGTCTGGTAACGGTGCTCATCCCTGAGGTTGACCATGGCACCTATAGGAACCACGCTGATGTGTCAATGTTGGTGCGCACCAGAGAAGCAAATGGCCTCATCTTCTATCTTGGAACTTATGAAGATAGTCAGACAATAGGTTAGATTAAATTTTATCTATTGGGTTTTTATTCAATGAACTAAATAATTGTTTTACATTGCAGTATATGATGGGATGCAGGGTAATAAACTCTTGTACCGCCTTATTTTTCCTGCACTCTACAAATTGTCCTGTGGTACTGTCCACCTTCTTTTATTGCATTCAAATGTGTGCCATTCACTGTACTGTTGATCTAAACCTTTTTGTATGAATTTTGAAACCCTACTGATCACCATAATAGAATGAGGTTTTACTGAAAATTAAAAAAAACAAATTGGAAAGAGATTTTTTTCTATGTAAAGTTCAGGTAAACCCTCAGCCTAAGACACAAAACATTGAAATTATTAAATAGAGGTAACAGTCACCTGTAGGGTTTCGTGATATAATGTTGTCTAGCACTCAGGATGGATGGAAACTCTAAGGTGGTGGTTTTCTTATATAATATAAGTTATATGGTAGACAGTCTGCTGCTGGAGATGCCATGTGGTGAGGAGCTGCTCAGTAGACACGTTCGGTGAGTAGCGTGTTGAAGGAGGTAGATGTGCAGGAGCTTCGTTAGAGAAGATGTTGCCTGTTGCTGGCCTCCAGGTTGAATGAGAACGGGACAGCGAGGAGCTTGCTTGGAGGAGGTGTTGCGTGTTCAGGAACCGAGAGCAGAATGAATCTCAATGGAGAGACAGAGCTTATATACACAGCAGCCGTGAGTCACCCGTGAGTCAAGCTTGGGAAGTCGCCGGTCTTTTGACTCCGTTGCTAGGATACTGTGGCATCTGGTGACGCCCCCCCCCTGGGCCGCTCGTTTGGTTGCTAGGGAAGACGTAGCAGGTGGCATGCGGCTACGCAGTTGTAGGGGAGACGTCCACTACACACCTTAAAACTGAGGGTGTACAGTCGTAAACAGAAGTCCTGTCGCCCCTTGTGCTGTTCAGCGAACCAAGAGATTCAGACTCATGAACCCGAAGCAGTAGACACTGGTGCATTATTCTGCCCATAAATGCTTCGGATTCATGAGTCTGAATCTCAGGGTTCGTGGAGCAGCAGAAGGGGTGACAGGACTTCTGTTCACGACTGTACAGTACATTGATATTTCGGAGCGGGTTGGCATGAGGTGATAATAAACTGGCCATCTATAGGGGCTCATTCCAGTTCTTTATGATTTGATATCACAGTCAATGCTGCTTTGTATAGGCAGTGGAATGAAGGAGATTGGATGATATGTCTTTAACGAGAACAGGAAATTTTAGTTGTGGCTGACGAAGCAGTTAAGTTCTGGAGATAGTAACTCATATGGAGGATATTTTCAAAGTAACATTCATCTTTAAGGTAATACTACTTCTATAGGGGATCATATCTTTTTGATCTCATAATAAGTCATCTGTCTTCCTTTAAAAGAATTATATTAATTTTATTTATCCTCTTTTTATTTTAAATTACCTGTTTCAGGATCTCAGGAGAGTCACATAATTGCTGAACTTAAAAACGGCAACTTGGTTCTACGACTTTTGTTAGATGGTCCTGAGGAAGTTTTCACTATCAGCAGCTTGGTGCTTATTGATGGTGACCCTCATCTACTTCACGTAAGCATTTTCAGTGAGCAGTGTTGAAGTGATGTGGTATTATTTACATATAGGGGAGTGTTTAAGCTAACATTACAGGGGAGTGTCAAGCTGACATTACTAAACATGTGTGAAGTATTGAATCTGGATGCAACAGAAAAGGAAGTTAGAAGTGACAGAAATTATGTAGTGTACAGTACTTGAGAACAGTATGTGAGGTGAATAGGATAAAAACAAGTAGATATAAAGAATAATATGGGGAACTGAAAGATGTGTTCAATTGATTGCTAACCAACGTTAGGGTACTTGGAAATATTTAGAGAATGAAAGTGAGAAATTTGTAAAACTATAATTCAGAGGTGGATACTTGGAGTGAAAGGGATGGATCAAGAAAATGAAAGGATGGGGTAACGGATGCACCAAAGGTGGGAGGAACATTTGATGACAGTAGAGCACAGGTCGAATAATTTAAAAGGATCGATGTGCTGATAACGGGTGATACAGATATCTTGAGGCTTTATTGCAAAACACATCTATCACTACAGTAAGAATGACTGCATGGCAACAAATACAGAGAGAGTGTGTTTGCTTTTTGTTTTGTCCACCTTTCAGTATATTGGGTGAGAGAGGTTTCAAGATAAAAACTATAAATGTATAAATGGACATTTATTGTGTAATGATTCTGAGATTTAAATTTTATGCTGAACAGGTAAAGCGCATCAATAATGACTTGGAAGTAAACGTGGATAATGAATTAGTATTGAACGCAACGCTGACATACGGCGGTGACCTAACAGCTCAAGTCCTGTACCTTGGTGGTGTTCCGGAGACCACTTCAGGGAGGGTCAAGCGTCAACTTGGTGTCACCAATTTCACCGCAACCGTAACTCGACCTCATTTTAAAGGAACTTTGCAAGATATTCGGGTAAGTTGTTACATGAAGGGCCTATTGAGAAATTCTGTGTACGGTATACAATATGTGAAGCTTTTGTTCCTTATATCACTTTCTTATTTCTATCTTGTTTTTTCACTCAAAAGTCATGTGTAGTGATAAGTTTGAGGAGAAAATTACCAACAAACTGTTTAGTATGTATTGTATCCTATAAATGATTCTGCATTGAATCTTATATTAAAACTTCAATTATTAAACAGTAGCAATAATTTAAAATTGAATTTTCTTAAGTTGTGTGGAGCATTTAAAGAGGTAATATTTGAATATTAAACTTACTCTCTGTTAGAAAGTATGATAATTATTCAGTCAATTACCTGTACTTTTGAAGAAATTTGCTTTTTTTATAGTTGCTGTGTAAATGGAGAAAAGTTCTCGGGTCATTTGCAGTGGTCTCTTTCTAGAAATAAGAAACTTACTGTGATGCTTATTTTGAGCTAACAGTATTTGGAATATCATATGTAATACAATGACATTGTCAACAAAGAAATTCAGATGTGTAAGTGCTGTTATGTTATTCACAGCTGAGCAATGGTTCAGAAACAAGACTAGTACAACCTTTCCCACTGCAAAATGTGTCTGCTGTTGTTTTACCTGGTGAAAATTTGCAAGAATTAGATATCATCAATGTCCTTGAAGGAACAGTTAGTGATGACACCTGCACTCCAGACCCCTGTAAGAATGGTGCCTCCTGCAGTGTAACATGGAATGATTTCTTGTAAGTACTGTATATGACTTGTGTTGGAGTAGTGGGTAAACTTCTTCAATGATGTTTAAATGAAGTTCATTATTCCTTCATGAAAGTGGAAGTAAAAATCAACACATCACTGCAATTTCCACAGCTAACCTATAGTATTTACTTGCAGAGTAATTTTTTAGAATAGGTTTTGTTCCTCAGAGCAACTTTATTGAACTGAGAAAAAAAATGAGTGTTAAGTTTCATAAATGTTACTTCAACCACTTTATTAATAAAATTTACCTATTGAATTTAATAAATATATAAGAATAAGAGTATTACAGTAATAGTATGTCCTTGAGAATAGAATGTGCTTAACTTTCAACTAATATCTACCATGATACACACTATATAAATTTGCTTTATATCATGACTTATATTTACATGGTCTACAGTCACACAGAGCTTATAACATCTCACTTGTACCGATTTGATATTTCAGGTGTACGTGTACAGTTGGTTTTAAAGGTAAAACGTGTGAGGATCGGGAATATTGTGCTATATATGAGTGCCCTCAAGGATCTGAATGTGTTAACCTAGATGATGGTTATGAGTGTCTTGCCAACTTAACACTCAATGGTGTGAACTCCTCCATGACGTACTCACCCAACTTTAGAAATCCACCGAGCCAGATTTCAGAGATCACGCTGAATTATCGAAGCCAGGTGAGTGTTTACTGTTGTGTGTGCTGGAACATAAGCCAGGTGTGTTGACTGATGTGTGTGTGTTATAACATATTCTTTTAATTTATAGTAGCTGTAGCTTTTATAATTACAGAATATTGAATTTATATGATTTATGTTATTTGTGCACTGGAAGCAGATTTAATTTTATTATTATTGTATATGATAGTTTCCCCATTTTAGGGGAATTCTCTTGTTTACATAACCTATTACAGTATAATGGTTGCCCCTCGTGTAATGAGGATGGCCGGCCCAAGGGCCACCCAGGCGTGAATTTATTTAAGGTGTAGAAACTGTCGCCAACACAACAGTCAAACCCTGAGTTAACGAGTGACCCAGTGTCAAGGAATAGTCCAAGAAGACCGGGCAACTCGCCAACTGCGCTGGCTAACCATTACCCTGGAATACGATCCACAAATCCTATTCACACACAAACACTTGTACATATTTAGAAATAGGAACATTTTGTGATTATGAACATGACTACACACAGAGAAGTCTGTATATTTTCAGCCACCAGCTGCAACTCTATTAATAAACCGTTTATTATTATTATTATTATTATTAGAAGTAAACATAGCATCAAACACAAATAGAGCACACAGGTAGTTACTCAAAACAGCAAACATAGTCACTTATACTTGAGATGTAAATACAAATTCATTGAAGTTGCATAAACCAGAATACTGTACTGTATGTACACGAGATAAAACAAATGATTTCATACCTGACTTTGGTTCTACCACTGGTATTTGACAAATTTCCCCCTCCTGTAGAAGTTAAAGAACTAACAATTTTAGTATGGAATACTGAACTGTTTTATTTAGTTTATGTGCAAATCATACAGTTGCCAGGGACTTGTTCTTCAAGAGATTATGTATGAAAAAAGGATGAATATTTCTTTGCCAAGTACTGTACTGTATATATTAAAGACCCAGTAGGAGTAGGAAAGCTGGAAATGCTACAGAATGTAGGAGTTAAAAATGAGGAAACGTTATAAAAATTTGATATAGGAGTTCATGAAGACTCCAGGCAGAGGAAAGAAGTATCAGTGTGAGCAAGGATGATAAACTAACTTACCATTGCAGCAGTGTGTGATTGTCACAATTTTTGATGTACTGTACTACAAATAGTAAAGTACAATAATCATATGTACAGTCATCCACAAACCTATCTGTACTTGAGTTGGTAAATGAATTTCAGAATGAACTGTGGAGACTCATGTTTTCTCGGTAAGGTTGTCCATTGTGTCATATTTTCTCAACACAATTTTGTATAGATAATTTTTTGAGTGACTGTACAGCATATAAAATGGTGCCAGATGGCTGTATGAAGAGCAGTTGGCCAAATACTCACAAATATTTTTTTTCCTTCAGGTGGGAGGTGTGCTGTTCTGGGCTGCAGGAATTGATGCTCATGTATGGGTTGGTCTGGACCACAGTTCTGTTGTGGTACATCAGACCAATGGTTCTGCATCTAGAAGTGCTTCCTTTACTTCAAATTCCACTCTGAATGGAGAGTGGCACTCTCTTTTTATCTCCTTTGATTTTACCGGCCTTCAGGTAAATAAAGTTTTAATTGTTTGTTCCTTTCTTACTTTCATATGTCTTCACCATTACCAAAAATAAGAGAGAATACACTTTGCTATTGTGTCTCATTCTGTACCTCCCTATGCAAGGAAGTGCCAAGATGATGATGCACACTTGGAACTAATGAATGTTGAAATTGTGTTTAATGGAGTTATTAAGAATGAAGTGGAAGGAAAGAGTAGAAAGAAGTCACTGACACTGAATTGAAAGGATGTAGAGAGAGGAGTGTGTCAGTGTAGAGAGTTATACCAGGACAGGGATGACTGGAGCAGATTATACAAAAGTCACTTTGTTGTATATTTGGAGATGAAACAAAACACAAATAGATAGTTTGTGTTGCATGGCAAGTATGTTTGAGGGAATTTTTATACAAAAGTAATTATTTTTCTTTTCTCAGATAATTTTGGATGATACAAGTTTGCTGGGCACAGATATTGCTGTTATCATCGATTTCACAACTCTTGTGTTAAATGGTATGTGTCTAAATACTTTTTTCAACCTACATAGAAAAATCTATTATTGATGATGTTCAGGAATTCTTAAACTTTGTTTTATATTATATGCAGTGGAGTCCATATATGATGAGATTTTTGTCACAAAACTAAAAGGTCATCATGTGTACAATCAAAGACAAAAGTCGTGTCGCGGTTTTGTCCGAAGATTAAATACAACTCGTGAAACATTAAGAGCCCCCTACCACAAGGCAGAACCCACCAAAAATTTAGCCCTTCGGCATATGTTTTCACCAAATTTCCCGACACGACTTTTGTCTTTCATTGTACACTCTTGCTTGTATATGTTTGAAGAATGTTGTTGCTAGTCAATCCTTCTTAACACCATTAAATATCATTCGCAGATTTTACCTAAGCAAATGTACTTTTTTTAAAGAATTTTTGTTCTTTTACTTTTACTTTTATCCTCTTCGCCACTGATCGGCTTGTTAGCCGCTTGGGCGATCGGTCACATCTCTGATTACTTTTCCTTTTCATTTATCTTCTTCACCAAAAGATCGGCTCGCTAGCCGCCCGGGCGATCGGTCACTTCTCTGTCAAGCACTGTTGGCAAATACTGGGCATGCACCGGCTCCTGAATGTACCTGAACCTGCTCCAGTGTTGGTCAAGTTTTGTCTTGAAAGAGCTCACACTCGGTGCCGTCACAACACTCTGGTAGATTGTTCCAAGAGTTTACAACCCTCACTTCAAAAAAGTTTGCCCTCACAGTTTTCTGGACTTGCGGCTTCTTCAATCTTGAGCTGTGACCCCTTGTGGGGCGAGCGTCCGCCAGCTTCAAGTAAGGACACTCAACTGAGTAGTGCCCCCTGAGATGCTTATACACCTCAACTAGGTCCCCCCTTGCCCATCTGTAGCATAAGCTAGGCAAGTTCAGGCGCTCCAATCTCTCAGGGTAGCTGAGGTGCCGAAGTGCAGGCACCAGTCTGGTGACCCTCCTTTGAACATTTTCAACCAACTGACAGTCCCTAGCATATCTCGGGGACCAGATGGGGTGGCAGTACTCCAGATGGGGAAGCACTTCACTCCTGAAGATTGTTACGAGGGACAGACCGTCTAGATATCTGAACGACCTTCTTATAAGACCCAATAATTTATTTGCCTGATTTACCTTCTTCTCGCAATGGCCCGAGAACTTCAGCTCATTGTCAACATATACACCTAGGTTCTTCTCACATACAGTCTCAACTAGTGCATTTTCTTCATCCCTTTGGGACATATGATACGCCTCCTTACCGTTGGTATGCCCCAGGTGCATCCTCTTACACTTGGTGACATTGAATCTCAGCAGCCATTTCTTCGACCATTCCTGGAGCCCACAGAGGTCCTTCTGCAGCTCTTCACAGTCAGCTTGGTTCTTAATTTCCCGAAATAACTTGGCGTCATCGGCAAACATTTGTATGGAGGAGTGTACAACGTCAGGCATGTCATTTATGAAACAAACAAACAACAGTGGGCCCAATACACTGCCCTGTGGTACCCCACTTGTGACAGGTGCAGATGACGATTTCGTGCCATTAATCACCACACACTGCATGCAGTCATGTAGAAAGTCTTCTATCCACGCTAGGACATTTCCCCGAATTCCGTACCCTTCCAGTTTGATTTTCAGCCTTTCGTGGGGTACACTGTCGAAAGCCTTGGCAAAATCTAGGTAAATATTGTCGATATTACCACCCCGTTCCAGAATATGGGTCCAAATATCCAATACCTTGAGCAATTGTGTTAAGCAGGAGCGCCCCGGCATAAAACCGTGTTGGCAATCCTTTACAAGGTTGTTTTGTATTAGATGTTCCATTGCGGCATCTCTAATAATACTCTGAAGTACTTTATATATTATGCTGGTCAGGCTCACCGGTCTATAGTTGTCCGTGGAGTGACGACCACCCTTCTTGAAGATAGGACTTACATAAGCCACTTTCCATTCACTGGGAACCATTTGTTCATCCAGGCATTTACAGAACAGGATCTTCAGGGGCTCTGCAAGCTCGTTGCACAACTCTCTTAGCACTCTAGGATGCACCATGTCAGGTCCGGGACTCTTATGGACCTTCTTTAGCCTGGACAGTTTATTTCTAATACCCTCTTCTGTGAACACAATGTGGGTCAGTGCTGTGTCGAACCGTCTGTCCTCAAACTCAGGAAGGTTAGTTGCATCCTCTCTTGTGAACACCGAGGAAAAGAAGCTGTTCAATGCCTCGGCTTTATCCTGGTCAGAATCTGCATAACTACCATTCACCAGCCTCAGGTCTGATACTCCTACTCGCATTTTCAATTTCGACTTTGCATAGCGGTAAAACGCCTTTGGGTTTGACTTGACCTCGCTTGCAACCAGCCTCTGGAACTCCTTTTCAGCCCTTCTACACTCTATCTTTGCTTGGTTTCTGGCTCTTGCATACATCATCCTGTCTTGCTCATCGTTTGACCCAACTCACGTCTTGAATTTCTGGGTTTTCTTCTTAATTTTGTTGACCGCCACATGGTTCATGTGTAGGGATCCCCTCGTATTCCTAGAAGCACTGGGTTTGGTCTTGGGTATATATTTATCGATCAAATGGGTCACTTTACTAGTTATGATAGTCAGCGTAGTGTCTGCGTTCTTGTACCTTAATACAATAACCTCGGGTTATTTTGCGAGACGGGCTGTGAATGTTCAAGAAGTAAAAAGAAAAATACAGTTATTGTATTAATTTTACATAAAAAATTTAACATGCATAATAGGTACAAAAAAGATCCACCAAAGCTTTGCCAAGCACACCTTTTATCAAGTCATTTTAGTTGTATCGGTTACAAATAGTTCTGAGACGGACAATCTGATGCATACACTTCTCAGTAAATCGTTCATTACCACATCTTATATAATTAATTTACGCATTCTTACAATTGTTGCTGTATAGTACATGCTTATTGTTATAATGTCATAATTTTAGTGAAAATACATGTACAGTATGTGTTGGCTAGCTGATGCAGGGTGGTGGTAGTTTTTTTGGGTGCAGGTGATGGTCAGTTGAATACAATGCCTTTATGTAAATCAGGCCAAGAGGAAAATCTAGGTGGGAATTTGTCTGGTGCCCGTAACTTTTAAATCACCTTTATATACATTTTCTTAAAAATATGGACGATACTATATTAACAGGTTAGTTTTCACTTTCTCCAAAAATATCAATTTACATAAAATATGCCTGACCTAATACAGAACAGTACAGTCGACCCTCGTTAATTCGGACTAATAGGGGGGAAGGGTGTCCGTTTTAGCCGATTGTCTGAATTAACCGATTTAGGGGTTAATATTGCATTATATTTCAAAGTCATTGTTTTCGTCACGATTTTATCCCACTTTCCACTGTAATACATACGTAATTTCAGCAAAAATATTACATTTCCGTTAATGTATTATATCAAGCACAGTATGAATAGAATATCATTGTAATATAACAGTATTTTAACCAAAAACTATTAAAAAAACGAATAACATCTCAAGAACATCGGAAGCTTGGGTAAAGTCTTTTGTTTTCGTCATGTATTTTATCTTATTTTACATTGAAATACATCACATTTCAGCAAAACTACTATTTATTTCCGAGAATATATTCATTCGGGCGCAGTTTAGGTAAAATATACGTGTGATGTAACAGTTTTTTAACTGAAAACGATTCGAAAAACATGTACTCTCTAGCCCTGTTCAAGGAGAGGACTGGGAGAAGCTGTTTGGTGCTGCAGACGATGACAAGGAAAATGATTTGGATGGATTTTAATGAAAATATTCAGAAATATGGTATCGTAGTATTTATTCAAGTAAATTAGGATAGGATATTATTGTAATACAACAGTTTTTGAACTGATAACCAATCGAAAAGCAATTACGGTAACATCTTTTGAACGAAAAAAAGCGAAAGTCATTGTTTTCGTCACGATTTTATCCCACTTTCCACTGTAATACGTACGTCATTTCAGCAAAAATATTACATTTCCGTGAATGCATTATATCAAGCACAGTATGAATAGAATACCATTGTAATATAACAGTATTTTAACCAAAAACTATTAAAAAAACTAGTAATTTCTCTTGAACATCGGAAGGTTAGGTAAAATCTTTTGTTTTCGTCATGTATTTTATCCTATTTTACATTAAAATACATCACGTTTCAGCAAAGCTACTATTTATTTCTGAGAATATATTCATTCAGGCACAGTTAAGGTAAAATATACATGTGATGTAACAGTTTTTTAACTGAAAATGATTCAAAAAACAAGTGTACGGTGTAGCTGATACTCAACAGCTGGTGGTGTGTCATGCGTCGTTGTAAACAATAGGAGGTTGAAGTAGATTACCGGGTATTATATTAAGTGTGATACCGTATATGATATGATAAGTTAGCCTGTGCTAAGAACTTCAACATAGACTACTGAAAACACGTTGTAAGGTAATTTAGCCTATTGTTAGTTGGTGAGCTTCATTTGCTGAAGGAACTGCACAACTTTTCATTACTAATTGGTATATATTTTACGTTTCCATTGTTTACTGGCGGTAAATGGTAAATATTTTTCATGTCTGAAGCCAAAAGTTGCATCCCCCCCACACTAGTGGTGGAGATGTTGCATTTAACCAAAAAGACGCTGGTGTTATCCCAGCAGTGGGTGGACCAGCATTTTAGCTTTAGGTCCGCGTAGGTAATATTACTAAAAAAAAAAAAGTTCAGATTTTGTCCGAATTATCCGAACTCTGGATTAAAGGGGTCCGAATTAACGAGGGTCGACTGTACCTTAGTTTTTGGCGAGGTCAAAAAATAAATTTTGTTTAAATTCCATACTAAGGTACTACTTTATATGCTGATTAAGGATCTGGGTTCACAATTAAAAAATTTGAGTAATTAGTGTTAATTAATGACCATTGAAGTAATTAGATATTTAAAAAGTCAATTATGCTGTGCCTGTAAGTTTTAAATCACCTTTATATGCATTTTATTAAAAATATAGACTATCAGGGTGTCTGCTGGTCAGCAAAACCTGAAAAAGGCAGGGAATTTTGTTATTTTGACAGCAATCTTACCATAAATTAATGATGTATTACAGTGAGTCCTCGCTTAACGTCGTGGTTCCGTTCCTGAAAACCACAACGTTAACTGAATAAATTTTCCCCATAAGAAACAGATAAAATACGAGAGTTACGTTCCCCAGCCTCCCTTTACCCGATAAAATACATTACATACACAGAAATTCAATGGCATTTTTATAGAAAATAGTAAATATATAAATAAACTAAATCATTTTGTATTTTACTCACTGATGGGCAGAGGTGGTGGAACAGGTGTGTGGTGGGTAGTGGAGTGGAGGAGGAGAGTGGCGAGTCACTGAGTCCCGGCGGGTGGCTCCTCCCGCTCTGACTGGGGTTCCTCCGCTGCTAGTTGCTCCTCCTCGCTTACAGACTGTTGTGAAGATGCTGCTTCTGCCTTCCAGTGACGAAAAAAAGAATCCAGAGTTGAAGAGTTGACTGCTTAGTGCTCCTCTTCTTTTTGTCCTTGTAGATCTCATTATAGTAACTAAGAGTTTCCTCCATGTTGCGTACAATCTTTGAGTTACGTTCTCTATTTGGGTTATCATCAATAAAGATTTGTATTCCTTGCTGGATCATGTCGAACGCTTCTGCCATCCTCTTGGTAGTTAGCATTCATTGTGGTTCTTCTTTTTCGTCATTGTCTTCAGCGACACTGTTCTGTTAACAGTTGCAGATCTTCATTAGTAAGCTCTTCTGTATGGGATGCCAGGACTTGCTCAATATCCTCAGATTCCAACTCATAAAAGCCTGCCTGTCTAGCCAAGCTGAGGATATCCCTATTCACAGATGGGACTAAGTCCGTGAATCCTGTAAAACTGTTCACGCACTCGAGCCATAACTTACGCCACACACCATTCAGGCAACTTTCTGAAACTTCTTCCCATGCCTTGCCAATATTGTCGATTGCATGAAGAATGTTGAAGCCCCGGCAATATTCTCGGATCTTAGGTTTATTTTTTCCGTCAGTAGCCTTGAGCAGTTGGTCCATGGTACGCCGTAAATAATACGCTTTGAATGCGGCGATAACGCCTTGGTCCATAGGCTGCAGCAGTGCTGTCATGTTGGGAGGCAGGAAGACAACTCGAAGATTGTCATGTAAGTCGTCGAGACTGGGAGGATGTGCTAGAGCATTGTCAATGACAAGAAGAATTTTGAAGTCCAAGTTCTCCTTGGCACAATATTCCTTCAGTGCAGGGACGGTGTACACAGTTAACCTCTGGCTTAGTATGGAGCTAGTTATCCAATCCATGGCTTTTTATTTGCCTTGTAGATAACAGGAAGGTGATCCTTAGAGTAACCTTTCATGGCACGTGGGTAGGCAGCGCGAGAAATTAGCATAGACTTCAGCTTGAAGTCGCCAGCAGCGTTCACGCCAAGCAGCAGCGTCATGCGGTCTTTTGCCGCTTTAAACCTGGCACTCTTTTTTCTTCCTTGGAGATATAGGTTCTTTCCGGCATCTTCTTCCAAAAGAGACCAGTCTCATCCACATTGAAGACTTGCTTCGCTGAGTAGCCTCCTTCCTCAATAATGCTTTTGAACTCCGGCGGGAATATCTCGGCAGCAACCGTATCTAAACTAGCAGCTTCACCCGTCATCTTAATATTATGAAAGTTATAACGATGCTTAAAACGTTGAAACCATCCTCGGCTGGCCGTAAGGTCTCATCCTTCGATCCTTCACCCTTTGCTGCCTAAGGAAACAGCAATGTCCACTGCATGTTCACTTTTCTCAAAACGGGTTAAAACCTCCATTTTCTTAGCAAGGCTAATGGTCTTACGTTGCTTCTTCACAACACTAGCATCACTAGCACTTGATGGGTGCTTGGAAGCCATTTTGAATGGTTAGAGTACAGTATTAAGAGAAAAAACACTAAAACACGCATGAACGCTGTGGAAGCCTAACAAGGCTGGCAACGCTTGGGGATGCTGTGTGATGCTCCAAGAGTGAGAGCGTAGCGTGCCAAAAAATGCGCTGTACAAAGTAGTCCGTAACGACGTTATACTGAATCGGCGAGACGTTATCTGAATTATGGGTATCTAAAGAATAGCGGTGTTATAATGAAACAACGTTATCGGGGGCAACATTAAACGAGGACTTTGCGATCAATAACCAAATATTACAGGTTATACCTACTAATTCTGCAATTACAGTGGTCCCTCGGTTAACGAGCACAATTTGTTCCAGAAGGTTGCTCGTTAACCGAAAAACTCGTTAACTGAAACCATTGTTTCAATGGGTTTTTGGGTAATTGGTTCCAGCTCACCGAAAATTGCCTAAAACAACAAATAAGGTAGTAAAGTACACTTACTTTGAGGTGTGTATGTAGAAGGCTCCTGGATGATGATGATGATGATGGGAATTAGAATGGGGGTGGAGGAGAAGGGAGAAGAGAAGGCATTGGGGTGGAAGAGAAGTCATCCCATGGCACCATTTCACCCATAAAATTTTAGTTCTCTGTGTAAATCAAGATTATTTTCTTTGAATCAACACTGCACTGCATTATATATTGTCAATATGTAAAATAAATTTCAAAATGACCAATAATTTGCTTGGAAACACAGAAAAAAGCGTTTAGTTGAAGAGAATCTCAAGCAAGATGTTAACTCCACTGAAAAGACACAGAGACTGACGCCTGTATGGTGTGTTGACAGGCTGGATGGTGCGCATAAAACTAGTTTCCTGTACTTCAATTATGTTCAATAATTGTTAAAATGACTAAAAAATTTAATATTAAACTTTTGAAATTTAAGCCCTAAACCGATTACTGTATTGGCGAACTAATACTACAGCTGGTGGATCGCTAAATGCAAGCGAAAACATGTTGAGTTCCACTCGTAAGAAACTCGCTAATCGAGGGATTGCTCGTTAACCGAATTTAAGAATCTTATTGAAGGTAAATCGTTAACCGAGGGATCACTGTAGTATTGTCAGAGATGAATTGTTCTTATAATTAAGTGACTTTATTAAAGTGGATGATTCCACATATTAATCATGAGTCATATAGGTAGATCAGGAGTGTGATTTTTCGGTTTTTGTTGGATTTCTGGATTTTTTGGAACGTCCAGGTCGACCCATGGGAATCGCACGAATCCGAGGAGAAATATAGGGAGGGGTGTGTCAAGGTCTTTGCCGATGTTCATCACTAGACTTGGGGTGGGTTGTGAAAGGGTCTTCAATTTTTTTATTAATATCATTTATATTATCTTTAAATTTCCCAATAGTATACAGTATACATATTATTGAAAACCTCTAATATTGTTATTGGCATTATAAATACCAAATTAATGTACCTGGAATTTTTCAAATTTACAACTGGAAAAACATGGAAAAGCCTGGGAATTTTATTTTGTCTGGCCAGTAGACACGCTGATACTGTACTCTTATTTTTATATTCATATAGTTTATTTTGTCAATAATTCATTCTCTTTACTGCAAAGCTTCACTCATGTTTAACTTTGGACCTAAGTAATGTTGCACTAGATAGGACCGTAGTTTTAGAAATACTGTACTAAAATGTAAAGTGTTTACCCACACATTGTGACAAGGCGACCAACTCTATCACATCTTAGGTTACAAGCCATCATGCCTAATCTTGTACCCATTTCTTGTACAATTAGTCTGCCAATGGAAGTACAAGGGTAGCAGTATTAAATTTATAAGGTGTAATATATGTTGTCATTATAACTTTTGTCATTCTAATCATTTACATTTACAGGAGATATAAGGATTGGTGCATCACCTGATACACTACCAACCCACAGTCTTTTGGACCCATCACTTGTTGACTCCTCAACCACCTCAATAAGATCCCTCCAGCCTGAAGATGACTTTATGCCCCAAGTGTTCCGAGGGTGTCTGGGAGCCACCAGAATCCAGGGGGTGTTGGTTCCATTCTTCTCACAGCTCCATCTTATCAACAACTCAGCAGCTAACCAGTTTCTGAGACTAGTAAGCATAGGGTAACATTTTGTTTTGTCCTTAATAATGTGTCATGATGAGGAAAAAAGGAAGTGAGAGAAGCTACATTACCAGTATACATACATACTGTATATGAATGTTTCTTCGCCTTTGTCAGTGGCTCATACACATTCTGCCTTATAATATTTATAATTGCTGTGTTTATATTTAATTCACTTAAGGTTATTTGCATGTTTACTCTATTAGGTAAGATAATGAACAGGATATGGCATCAAATTTCTTACACTGATTCTCTTGTCCATAGGACGAGTCCTTCACCAGTATTGGTTGCACAGTTTGTTATAATGAAGAATGCCTGAATGGAGGTTCTTGTTCCAACCCAGCAGAAGTCTTCAGTTGTTCATGTCCAATTGGTTTTGAAGGCTCATTATGTGAAATTAACATTGACGAATGTGTTGCTAATCAGTGCCTTAATGGAGCAACTTGTGTTGATGGCATCAATCAGTATACCTGTAAATGTATGCCAGGATACACAGGAGAATTGTGAGTATTCTCTCAAAATGAATTATATAGATACTGTTATAGTAGTTTTTATTTTACTGAAAGGGATGATTCACAGCATTTTTTTTTTTCGTACCTAAAACTCATTTTGACTTGGAATTGGAAATAAAGTTTTTAGCTAGTTTATTATCTCCATAGAGAAACATGAAGCTTGTCACCAGTACATTATTAGAAAACAAGAAATATACAGGATGTTCCGTAAATACCATTCATAAATCAGGGGGTGTATTCCTGAGACACAAATAAAGATAAATAACTAAATTGTCAATTCTCAATACTTTTGGAGTTACAGCACATGGCAGGTTTGGTAGTAATGTGATAAAACCTACAGTATATGGGGTGTAAATGAAACATCCACTGCTGTTAGTGTCGTTTATTAACAATACTGGTACCATATGCCATATGATTTGTACTGGGATTAACATTTAGAGCAAATGTTCAAAGTTCCGCCCCGTTGGTCAATGCAGGCCTCAGCCCATCGCACAAATGAGTGTTGCATACGCTCAAAGACCCCGGGGATGTTTCGAATGTTTGTCACACTTTCTGTACACAGCGCCACAATTCCTTGTGGTGTGGGACCTCTGTAACACACACCTTGCTTTTTATGTGACCTCGCAGGTAGAAATCAAGGTGATTTATTTCTGGTAACCGTAGGTTTCATCATATTCCTATCAAACCTGTCATGTGCTGTATCTGAACTATTGAGAATAAAAAATTTGGTCATTTATCTTTATTTATGTCTCGGGAATACACCCCCTGATTTATGAAAGGTATTTACGGAACACCCTGTATACTGTATGCAGTACAGTATATATTTTTAAGGAATATCTGTGGTAATAATTTTATTATATTAAACATTTTATAAAACATTATTGAAATTTAAAAGTATTAGCAATGATTTTTTTTCACAAACTGTATACTTTGCTGATGTCCTTTCAAATCAGATATTCTGATTCAATTACTGTAAAGGGTCTTGAGGAACTTTTTTCTTCTCACATTTAATCTTCTGTCCACTGAAATGCAAGGTGGGTAGAATCCAAAGCAAACAGCAACTCTTCCTTCATTCTTTCAGGCATAATAAGTTATTCCTGCTGAGATTTCTGTTTGGTGTACCCCTATTGCTTCACACAGCCTGACTTAACTCATCAGCAGCATGTTTTCCCCCAAAAAATCATACATTGTATAGGAAATTAATCAAAAATTTTAATTTCCAGTTGTGAAGAAGACATTGATGAATGTGCTACCAGCCCGTGCAAGAATGGCGGTGTTTGTGTGAATGAAGTTGCTCGGTTTGTGTGCCAGTGCCCAGAGGACTTCATTGGGCTGACCTGTGAGGAGTTGAAAGTCAAGAATTGTTCCAACTTGATGTGTCTCAATGGTGCAACTTGCACAGATATTTTCAGTGAGTTGCTGTAATTTAGGTTTTCTGGAAGTTCCTTTTCATAATAGTATATAAACTCTTACATGATTATATGTTCAGATGTGCAAAACAACCAACCTGTATGATATGAGGCAAGAATTAATGAAATGGGAAAAGAAAATATGAGAAGAACTGATATATATTTTTTGAGGAAAATATTTTAGAAATAGTAAAACTGTTTCTTTCATAAATTTCTTGAGCATTGGGGACAGAGAATTCAGTATCTATACAGTAGAACGTCGATATAACGGGAGATACGTTCCAGGAGAGGTCGCTTTAAATCTAATTTGCACTAAATCGAAGTGTTGCTTCAATGGAATAATTTAATTTGGTACTTGAGAGAAACACAAAATACTAAAAGGATTTTTATTAACTAATAAATATGAGAAACATATATGGCGTAATGATGTATAGGCAGCAAGCACTCCCTACAGTTGAGTTGAGAGCTGGACGGTACTGTTACTGTGTGGTACTGCACTGTACTGTCTGCTGCCTTGCATCACTGGCCCTCCCCCTGCACTTTCACTTTCCTCTCAACTTATTTTTTCATTACTTTAGGCTATCAAAAATAGATTTTTAGTTAGGCAAGTCATCCTCTGAAGATGCAGAGCCCAACTCAGCCAACTCATCATCCACATTACTGTCTGGTGCTGTGGAGGCACCTGACACGCGGGAAGTACTGGATAACGGCTGTGTCTGCCCAGAAGTAGATGGGCCAGTTAATGATGTAGTGGCTGGCCTCTTGGATCATGGTGGCGATGGGTGATGCACGTGGTGGAAGGAGATAGTGTCACACAGCATGTCCGTTCACTAGAGCGTCGGCGCGAGAACTGAGGGTGCGGGAGGGTGTCTGGCGGGAAACATTAGTCGCAAAACTTAAAATATTGTGTCACTTTAAATCAATAATTTAAAATCGATTTGCATTAAATTGACGTTCTACTGTATTAGTTATGTCATATTTAATTAGAGAGGTACAGTATAAGTGGAAGACTTTCTTTTTTTACTAAACATGATGTTTTGAGGAACTGAAATATCAACCATCTTACAGTTAACAAGGGTAAATTAGGTAAAGGTGTGTACCAAACACTGTTTGCTTATTTATGTTTGGTAATAATTCGTTCCTTAGTGTTTTATTAGTGGAAAATTACTGAAGCTTGGGCAGTATCACCTCAGTCCCTGCAGTTTACTTTTCCTTGAGGTGCCACAATTCTTCCATGGTTATGTTGTTTATGGTTGATTTAATAGAGGATGCTTAAACAAATTTCACCGTTTTTTCATAACATTTGAATGTGCATTTAGACCCTTTTCTGCAGTTCTGTGTGTTCTCTGAACCTTAGGGCCAGTGACTGTAGTGTTGCTTGATCAAGGGCGTACCCAGGATTTCATCAGGGAGGGGGGGTTAACTAAAAACTTAGATTGGCAATATTATGTTGGACTCCATTAATGTGATATGCAAATTTTACTTACTTTTCGTTACACAATGATTCATGCTAGGCATGAATACAGTCTCTCCTCGACATACGACATATGCGACTTACGACAACCTTGACTTACGACGGCCATTGTCGTATAAAATATTTCACATTATTTTTGAGTCCAGACGTATGGTCGTAAAGTGACGCCGTACGGCAACTTCGGCTGGCACACCCTGCCGCCACGTGGTGTACAGCATCCACGTCGTATCCCGCTCAGTTTGTGTTTGGCCGTCGTTGTTCTTAGTTATCGCGTTGTGTACTTACAAAATTTTTTTTGTAATTCCCTTTAAAATGGCTGGCAAGCGTAAAAGTGAGTGTTCTTGTGGTGCTGTGAAGAAAAATAGACAATCAATTACTTTTAAGATGTAAATGAAAACAATTATGAGATATGAAAATGAAAAAAAAGGTATCAACAATTTCACGTGACCTTGGCTTCTCTCACTCGACGATATCAAAAATTTTGAAGGACGAGGAACGAATTCGTGAGGTAGTGAAAGGATTAGCACCTATGAAGGGCACAATAATAATGAAAAAAGACAAGGTCCTCTTCATGAGATGGAGAAATTATTCATGACATGGATGGAATATCAGCTACAAAAGCGTTTACCGATAAACTTCTAACCATACAGGCTAAGGCAAGAAGCCTTTTCGAAACCCTGAAAGAGCAGGCAGGAGATGAGTGCGACCAAAACTTCACAGCAAGTCATGGGTTGTTCCAAAGGTTTAAAAATTTTTTTACAATTTGCACAGTGTACAGGTGAGTGGAGAGGCAGCAAGTGCTGATGTGGGTGCTGCTGAAGCTTTTAAAAAGGAGCTCGATTGTGTCATCGTGGAGAATTTTTGCATGAGCAAATATTTAATGTGGATGAAACTGGTTTATTCTGGAAGCTCATGCCAGAATGGACATACACCCACAAAGAGGCAAAAACCATGCCAGGATTCAAGTCATTCTGTTGGGGCGAATGTAGCTGGTTTCAAGGTAAAACCCTTCATGATACAGTATATCATTCTGAAAACCCAAGGGCTTTTAAAAATGTCAGCAAGCACATTGCCAGTGTTTTATCACAGTAATAAGAAAGCATGGATGACCCCAGCATTGTTTAAGGATTGGTTCCTGAGTTGTTTCATTCCACGAGCCAAGGAGTATTGTCTGCAACAAGGGGTAACGTTCAAGATTTTGTTAATTTTAGATAATGCTCCGGGACACCCATCACACCTGGATGACCTGCACCTTGGTGTTGAGGTAGTCTACCTTCCACCTAACACTACCTCTGTCATCCAACCCATGGATCAAGGTGCTATTGCTGCTTTTAAAGCGTATCATTTATGTACGACCCATCCAGACTATTGCTGCTGCTGAACGTGAGAAAATGTTATGAGAATTTTGGAAGGACCACAATATTTTGCAATGTACAAAGAACATAGCTGCAGCATGGTATGAGGTTACAGGTCAGTGCATGAATGGAATATGGAAGAAGGTCCTGAAAAGATATGTGAATAGTTTCAAAGGATTTAATGAAGATGTAGCAGTTTCTGAGATTAGTAACAAGATAGTGCAGATGGGTAAACAGCTGGAGTTAGAAATTGATAATGAAGATGTTGAGCAGTTGATGAAAAGTGTAGCAGATGGGCTAAGTAACGAGGATCTTATTGAACTGGAGGCACAGAAATTGGCAGAGGAAGAAGAGACAAAATGTAGAACAACCTGCTCCTCCCAAAAAAGTTTTCAGTGAAACAAATGGCAGAGGCATTTACGACTATTAATAAGGGGATGCAAATGTTTGAAGAAATGGATTCTAATGTTGAGCGATTTGCAAAAGTTGACAGACAGATCCAAGATGCACTTGCTTGCTTCAGGGAGATTTATACTGGAAAAGAAAAGGCAAACTGTGCATTCTAAATTGGACGTATTTTTTTAAGAAGTCCCCCACTGCTGCCTCTTCACTCCCTGAAGATGATCCAATACCTTCAACAAATAAGTGATAGACTGTCTGAAGAAAGCGAAGTTGATGACCCACCCTGTCTCCTTCACTGCTTCATCCAATTAATGTAGTCTCCATACTTAATTAAAAAATTACTGAGACCCTTGTACATTCAGCTGACTACATTAAAAGTAAGTGCACAGTAACACTTTATTTATTTTTCATTATTGATTACTTTTGCTGTACAGTATTTTATTTTAAAATTTCTACTTATTATTTTTGTCAATTCGACTTACAACCAAATCGACGACCTGGTCGTCGTGCTTGAACCCTGTCTTAAGTCGAGGAGACTGTACATACTTCACAAACTAACTTCTCTTTAACACTTTCTAAAAAATATCCTTCTTTACTTGATAATCACAGATAAGCATGCATACTGGTTAGCCTTTTTTATTACCTAATCACAGGCAGTTACAAAAAGAAAGTATGAATGAAGTAAAATCTTAAAAGAACAAGAAATTTAATATCAAATACAGCATGTACAAATTGAAAAAAAAAGCTACTTAGTATTTTCAAACACTCTTTCATAGTAAGCACAGGACAAATACACAGAAATCCCCCTGTGATATATCAAATTCAATTAACTTCATTAGGACTCGAAACTGGTACACAGAGAATAGGTACCCCAGCTGTTACCACTGCTCTACGACCCTTCAAACCTTATTTGTAAGGTTTTAAGGGTCGATGCAGTGGTAACGGCTGGGATTCCTGTTCTCTCTCTACCAGTTTCGAGTCCTGATAATTCATTGAATTCCCGGTACGAAAATAACGAAACAATTAATTAATATACAGGTATATTAATTAGAAAGGACATATCATTAATACTATTCAAGTTGCTATGTTATTCTTATTCTGAGCAAAATTATCAAGAATCAAAGGGGCATCACTTAGACTTGGGTTTATTTCTGTTTATAGCCATTAGGGCCATACCTGACAATCTATCTTCCTTCATGGTGCCATGCAGCGAGGTTTTTAGTCTCCGTAGATTTGAGACTGATCTTTCAGGGCTTGCTGTTGTAACTGGTTGGACATCAATAACTTGCAGCAATCTGTTTATGACAGGAAAGCTGTTGCTGTCACATTTTACTAGGGCTGGGATAGCATCTGTAGTCCTAGTATTGTGAGGTGCTAATTTCCACATTTCTGCCCAAACATCCCATTCTCCTAGAGCTTGCTGAAATGTAGCATGGGGTAAGATTTTACTCCAAAAGCTATAAGCCTTTTTCAATATTGGCGTACTGGTACTTCGGTGATTTTTCATCTATGTAGAAGGTCCATTATTCAAGGTATTCATGAGGGGTTCTTCACTTTTAAAATGCCTAATAGTTATAGAAAAAACTTATTAAACACAACTGGCTGAAAATATCACAGACTATGACAGATAACAATTGGATTAGTGAGGTTAATATTTAGTAAGTATCGTAAATATTCTCTGTATCACAATCACAGTATCACTATATTCCTCTAACCCGCTTACAAACAGTCCCGATTTATGTGCCACGTTGGTGCCGAAATACTGTTATCTATTTCCTGAAATTTTTTTCCTTCTTGTAACACTGTTGATAATGTACTGCACAGCACTTTGTTATTCAGCAATCTTCACTGATATAGTTACGGTACACAAGCCCTACGGCTACATAATTACGAAGGATGAGTAGCTTAATAGCAACTGGAAATTCTATTGGACACTAGTGGCTGAACAAACATCGCAGATTGCTGACAGTTCAATTATTGTAGGCAATATATATGATTATAGCATGTCATAAACATTCTCTATATCACTTTTCACTATACAGTACTGTATTCATGATTCAATAACACGCTAAAAATAACGTGGATGCGTAAACACCTTTCAATCATTTCTGACAATTTTTATATCAATTTATAAAATCACTGCAGTCTTCATTGATGAGTACTGTATAAACGCACTATATAGCACAATTAAGCCTGTAAGTCATATGAAACGATAAATATAGGCATGCAGGATGATGCAGCAAAGATATTATGTAGCACTACACGCTACTGACCAATGCTCTCTGGCAGTTTAAACACAACTGAGATATACTCAGGCGGCAGTGCACGACAGACATTCGTTGAGCTAAGAAAAAACGCTGTTTTTTTTTTCTAAAAACCAGTTTTTGTGATATAGTCCAGAATGCGACGTCTAGCTTTATACCTAGGTATGTAAATGCCTAGCATTAAGTCGTCAGGCCAACATGGGGTACCGGCAATTAAAACATCAAATAATTACTTAAATACGTAATATTAGGAGGACACTCCTAAATGGGTTAATTTGGCCAATGTTTCTGATATTTTGATTTACAAACTAAGTATTTTTTGAGAAAGCTTAAAAAGCTCAATTGGGTGGGGGAACGCCCATGTCCCCCCTCAGTATGCCCTTATGCTTGATGGCTATATTGCTTCATTTACACCTTACCCTTCTGAAATTTTTAGTGCTACCCATGATTTAATATCGTCGCCCTCTTGCCAATGACAGTTTTTACCTGTCTAAACACCATTTTGACCAAAACAAATTCTTTACTAACCTGTTTTAACTTTCTGGTGTTCATACAGGAAATGTCATTATAATTATTGGTATCCATTCATATTTTGTGTGGTAAATGTGCAGTACAGGAATTTGTGGATAGGAGTGAAAGTAGAAATCCTCACACTTGTTATGTACCATGTGTGTGAGCTCATTACTTGTGAGTTAATTCTGGCACATAATTGTTAGCTTTTTAACCTGTGCGGTACTATTGTTTTTTCATGTTGACTGATTACCCTGTTTTCTAGATGCATTTCTTGGAAAACAGTTTTTTGAGGGATGTGATTTTATTTATTTATTTATTTATTTATTTATTTATTTATTTTTTTTTTTTTGGGGGTTTAATGATGCATTTATCAGCTTTGCACCTACTCAGAATATGAAGCATGATAACATTATAATGAATGACTAATTAAACATTACAATTATTTTTTTCCAGATCCCTTAACTGGTGTTGCGGAGATACACCTGTTCATGTAAATTTGGCTTCTCAGGAAGCAACTGTGAAATTATAACCGATTTTTGTGCACTGAAGAGTATCAACTGTGTGCATGGTACTTGTGACCTGACCTACCAGGATGAGGTTAGTCAATTAGGACCAGAGTTAATTTTCATTTATTGATGTACTGTGCTATACTTATTGATAGGTTCAGTGTCTTAAGGAAATGCATATACATTGAGAGAATGAACCATCTTCCTGGAATTTTTATGAATACATAACAGAGCGGTTGAGCCATTTGACACATGTTTAGAGCCCATAAACAGTTGGCAGGCCTGTGGAACGGAAGGGTTGCCAGTGACACCATTCACTGTGGTGGGTAGTCATGTTTCATTATACTTTGGCCAAAGCTGGGAAGATACTTCATTCTCTCACTGTGTACACACACACACACACACACACACACACACACACCACTCACTCATCCTCCTCACTCCTCCTCTGTTGAATAAGAAGTTCAATGTACTATTCACAAATTTTATTTCTATACTAAACAACAAGTATTAAATCTTATGAAAGCTCTTTTTCTCAGCTTACTGAAGTATTTATTAATGGCTCAAAATGATATGTCTCCTCAGGGTTGGGAGTGCAAATGCAGTGCAGGGTGGGAAGGAGTGCTCTGCAGCGAGGACATCAGCAGTGTGATTCAAACCCTTGTAAAAATGGTGCCACGTGTGAGCACGGCATAAATAACTTAACTTGCCATTGTCCTGATAACTGGCAAGGTTCTACATGTGAACAGGATGTAAATAGGTGAAGAAAACTTATGTAATAATGGTGGAACCTGTAATAATCTGCAGGGAACCTTCCAATGCGACTGTGAAGAGGCTCACATGGAGACGTGATATTTGAATAACCCTTGTGCAGAAGTAAGTATTTGTGATGATTGTTGTCGTTTGGGCGGGCAGCTCACCGAGTCATTATCTGAGGGTTTGACAATACCTGATCATTAGATTTTTAAGTTTTAGTTAAAATCTTATGGAGAGGTTAGCAAGTATCCAAAGACTAAATAAATTCAATATTAGCTAACCTACTGGTGGAAAATGTCCATAAAATGGTGATGATGACTGGACTGTATTGACCAGTTTAACTTTCCTACTATTTACCAAAGACTTAGTTAAACTGTACATTTGTGGCCTGACAGTTTCTTCTGCATTCTCCACAGGCTGAGAGACTTTGCACTTAGCTTTGGTTGAGGTTGACCTGAGTTTCACAAGTAGGTTTCGTAGTCATGAAACAATTTTGCAGAAATTTGAAACTAGGCATCGGAGAATGCAACTGACATTATATTTAATGTAATTAAATGCAATTATTCTTTGTGGACAGGATCAGGTACAGGCAGTTACCAATTTACAAAAGTTCAGTTTGTGATAATCCAAAGTTACCCCCAAAAATTGTCCCATGAATTGATTTACAAAAAAAATGAGGAGTTACGATTTTTTTTTACTTCCGATATGCTAACTTATTTATCTAACTAACTTCATTATTCTCAAACACTCTTAATGTTATTAAGTCTACAAATACTGTTAAATTTTCAACGTGTAGTTATTCTCCATCACTCACCATTTAAGTTATTATATTTTACGGCTTCTAAGAAGCTCAGGCACAAGATGCACTCATATTTCAGCAGGGAGTATTTAGGAAACTTTTTGAGTGTAGCATAGTATTAGTCAGTGTGTATTACTTATTGTGTATTCATATTCAAGTGTGAATAACATTGTATAAGAATAAAGCAACAGAAGTATTTGGATGAACATTTGTGTGTACCTTTTATTGGAGCAAGTTGATTGAATTTTAAGGTGAAAAAGTTTTTTATATGGATGCACAGGAAATTTAAACAGTAAGTGTGTAAAAACGTAAGATAAAGAGTTATTTTATAGTGTATAATACTGTAATTGATTTTTCAGTTTAACTGCAGCAATGGAGGTGTGTGTATTCACCTATGCGATCAATATTATCCAGACAATCAAAATCAAACTCGAGCTTTCTGTCGTTGCCAGGATGGGTGGGAAGGAACATACTGCACTGAAAAGGTGTGTTTAGGAACTGTTTATGTTTTGCATGAGCTTTGAATTTACTGAATATAGGTACATATACTAAACAAAGAGCCTGAATGTGTTTCTGTACTCCAATTATATACCGTATTGTATTCCGTTTGCTTCCCAGGTGAGAGTTCTACACAGGTTGACCTGGCCATCATTGTAGGATGTGTGGTTGGTCTTATGTTAATAATTGCTATTGTTGGCCTCACTGTCTTCCTAATGATGGCTAAAAAGAAGCGCCAAACAAGAGGAACATATTCTCCAAGTAGACAGGTATGTGATTTATATATTTTTTTAATGGGGTTGTCTAATAATATAGAAATACATTTTCTTTGTGTATTAGAAGGTATTGATAATTTCTAACTGTAGTGCCTGTCAAGTAGCTTCACTCTTCACTCATATGGAAATAGTTTTGCAACTGTGTGATTCCTTAATTATATCAGCGTGTTTGGGTTACAGTGCCTCTCATCTGCTTTTGTCTTTGTTCCCTGTTTTCTGCACACTCACTCACTTGGTTTAGTAATGCATAAAGCTGGAAGATTCCATCCACTGTGTTTGATGAGGTTTGGTATAATTTGCACTGGTTAGGTTACAAAATCTATGGAGGCTTTTTCTTGTTTGGTAACTGGTAAAATGGTAAACAGTTTTCATCGGTTTCACATAATAAGTAAATACATATGTGGAAGAACTATAATAATGAATATGTTTATTTCATTGCATGAAATCTTTGTTACCTGTAGACAGAATTGTAAAATGGCTTATTTAGATGATCACATTAAGTATCCTATTTTTCTCTCATTCAGGAGTTTTACAGTCCCCGAGTTGAGATGGGTAACATGATGAAGCCACCACCAGAAGAGAGACTAATTTGAGACAAGGCGTCAGAAATGTGTGTTGAGAAACCTCCAATTTTTATATTGCTCATTAGATACTAAGTCTATGAGTACTGTGGTAACTCTTTAACCTTACAGCTCACTTAAAATGATCCTACAACAAAAGACTCTGTCACAAGATAATATCTATGTTAGCTAAGGTTAGAAAAGGGTGAAAGAGAATTCTCTTGAATAGAGCCACACGTAAAGCACAGCAAGAAAAATATTCTTGAAAACTGCTTCAGATTTTATTATTGCATACTCTTCATTGGCCACATTGTCTTATTTAGGCTCATCTTGTGGATTATTATGGAGTAAAACAAAAAGACTCAGAAAGGAATGCTTGCAATTCAGGAAATTGCTTCTTATTTCAGTGTATTGATAAGCTTATTTTGAACATATCTAGAGAGTGTGATGCTTATAATACATGGGAAACATATTCTGTGATTTGGAGATACGTAAAGAACCATTGCTCTGATAGTGGTGGAATTTATGACTGACTGTACCTGTATGCATAAAGATCAGAGAAAAACGTAACAAGAAGTCTTCCATGTATGATTTCCAGTATTCCACAAAAGTCAAAATAAATGTGGTGCGGTCCCCAAGAAGCAGTTGTGCGAGGGACTTGTCTGAGTAGTGAAGATGTGTATTTCATAGAGTACTGTGTATAATTATGTACAGTACTCACACAAAGGGAAAACACAAGAAAAAGTGTGAGGCTGGAAGCACTGGTTCAGAATAGTATATCAAAATGTAACCAGTCCATCCATCTGACATCAGCTTCAAATTCACATTGAATTTGAATAGTGTCACATGTTATTGTTCTGCAAAAAGTTACTTGAATCTTGTAAATTCTCGTACGTAATGTGCATTTTTATTTTTTCCTTTTTTAATAAAATTTAATGCTTGATTGCTTTTGCATTTATTATATGAATGTGAATGGTTGCCCAGAGTGTTAGAAAGTGTGTAGGAGTGTTGTAAATACCTGCTAGATTAAACTTAATTGTTTTAATCATGTATCATAATAGATAGATAGATGATAGTGATGTTGCTATAGTTCTAAAAAAAAATTTTTTTTTGTATTTGAATATCATCAATTTAAATGTTGTGAAAAGAAAAATTTATCTGTTTTACATAAATGTTGTCAAGTCTATTTAAGCTGTCACCATCTTTAAGGCTACGAGGTAAATATGTAATACTACAGTAGTACAGTACATACACAAGACATGAATGTTAAGGTGCTCTAGTATTCTTGATAGCTGGCTATCACTCAGTGTAATGTTTATGTAGATGATTCTCACTTGAGTTAAAGGACAACAGCCTCATCAAGAAGTTTTGTGTACTGTTTACATTGTCTTGATATCTCAGATAGTTTTATATCAGAAAGTGTTTGTTACCATTTTAATATCAAGAGTTACTGGTTATTGTGTGTGCATGAATGCTGATTCTGTTTTAAGTAGTTCTGACACAGACTGAATTTTAATGTACATAAGAACATAAAATAATTTAATGAATACACATTGTGCATGCAAAAATATCATAAGTGGAATATTTAATTTTTGGCATTTTAAGTCCTTAAATTTACATAATACAATAATATTCTAAATTGCTTATTCAATTTGTAAATATAAAATAGGTGCTTTCCATTACCATTTTTGGTAAATCTTATTTCTGTCTTACATGGATTTTCTAATGATGATAGTGATTATGCCAAAAGCAAGACTTAGATATTGCTGAATATTTACATATGTGTATTTCAAGTGCATTGTCACATGTTATGCAGTATAGTACTGTACTAGAATGGGCACTGATGTTGGTATGTGAGTGACAGTTATATAGGTATATATACTTTTTCAAAATGAATAGTCTTTGTATTAATGTACTGTGAAATACAATAAAAGAAGATGATGGTCAGTGATCTGGTTGATAGATTTGTAAATGAGGAGGCACATATATATATATTTATATATTTTTTCATTCATACAGACCACCTCCTGCTTTGGTCCAGATGCAGCCAAATGATATGTAATGGCAAATATTCCAACAGTTGACAGAGATGAATCTGTAAATGTTATTAATACAGTATATATTTTTTGATAATGAATAATACAGATATAGAGTATGTTATGCACCTGTAGTATAGGTCCTCATTCTTGGTAAGATAGATTTTAATTACCCTGTGAAAAAACCCCAAAACATTCCATTATTTTCCATATGTAGAACTTTGGTTCCACTAGTAATGTAGCAATTTCACGCTGGCTCAGGTTACTCATATCACTGTATTGAGCAAAAACTCAACTGCCAGATGAGGATGCTTTGTATATACTACTTTGAGGTGAATATTAACATGCAATGAAAATGAATCTCAGTGATTGCAGAATTGTTTTTATATATAAACAAGTAAACACAAAAGCACACACACATACAGACAGACACACAAAGGACACCATGGTGCATAGTCTGTCATCTCCAGCAGCTGGTTTGATGCTGCAGGGAACAGTGGCCTGGGTGTTACAGACTTTATTATGTTAAGCATTATTATCCTGTATGTATGTCAAAACTTTATGCTCACTAACACCTTTTTGTCACGGTTACTGCCTCACTTATGTCACACATTGGGAAATAGTATGTTATATGAATGTGGTAAACCTTTACACACACATGCACACACACACACACACACACACACACACACATACACACACACACACACACACACACACACACACACACACACACACACACACACACACACACACACACACACACACACACACACACACACACACAACACACAACACACACACACACACACACACACACACACACACACACACACACACACACACACTCGTTACCAGATGTAAAAAAAATGAACATCTTCCCCAATGTGAACTCCTCTGTGATATAATTCCCTCCTCCAAAGCTTGTTGGTAATGACAGTGCCTTTTTTACTTAATAAGGACGTGGAGTTGATGTGGTCGAGGGTATTCTACACTGATATCTGGATTACCTGAGATCCAGTGATTACAGAGTTGGATAGTTCAAACCATGAAGTTTTTATAATCATAGCAATTTAAAAAGCGAGTTATTGCTAGGCATTAACATACCTAGGTATAAGATAGGCGTCGCATTCTGGATTGAACAAAAAATCGGAATTACCATGAAAATTTAGTTTCGTGTAATGTAAAAACATATCACCATTTGACTTGGTCTCAGGAAATTGAGGTATTTTTGTGGATAAATTTTGTATAGAATCTTTGTTATCCACATCCAAGTGTCCATATGGAGGTTTGTGTATCCTTGAAGTAGAATGTGTATTCAGGTGACAATACATACAATAATGATTGAGTTGGTTTTGAAGATTGCTCATAGATTGCGTTGTTATTAAAGCTCGGCATTGTTATTAAAACACATGAACAAGGGAATGACCAGAATTGGTCGTATGAAAGTTACAACACAAAATAATTAAACTTTTATTATAAGGAAAGTACCATTATTCTTGAACTATGATGTAATAGATGGTACAGTATTGAAATACCATATTAAATTTTCAACTTTTCCTCTAACATGGATGGGCTTATAACTTAGTGTCTGGATTAGAATGAAACTTTTAAGATATGGTCATTATAATTTTTATTTGAAAATGAAGATCTACGTAGCCATTTTTTATTTAGAATTTTATGTAGATATATTCTTGACTCGTGGGACCAATTTTTATGATAACTATATTTTCTACATTTCATTCTGTATAATTATTGAATTGTTTATAGCAGTTGAGAAATAAGATGTGTTCTTAGATTTTTTTCTCCAATGCATTGTACAGTATTGTAAATGTAACATTTCATTATTTAAAGTATGTCTAGAAACAAGTTTTTATTTATCCTTTCATGTGCAGTATAGATATACTGTACTAGTTGTACATTTCCTTGACTGTGTTAACTTTATTAGACACAAATTTTTATAGGTGGCCATGGTTAGTGGGGGATAATGATGCCAAAGAAATGAGAGGCTAATGGCTTCTTCTATTCGAAATCACCTGGAGAAGCACAAGTTGATCAATGATTCCCAACATAGCTTCACAAAAGGGCATTCATGTCTGTCTAATATATTAACATTCTTTTCAGCTGTTTTAGAATCAGTGGACGATAGAGTCCCCCACGAAAGACTAATACGAAAAGTGGAGGCTCATGGCATTGGAGGAGATATTCTAAATTAGGACGTGGTTACAGGACAGGAAACAGAGAGTAATCATTAACGGCACTAAATGCAATTGGGGTAGCGTCACTAGTGGTCGTGGAGTTACTCAAGGCACAGTACTTGGACCATTATTATTTATTATATACTGTACATAAATGACATGGATATAGGCATAGACAGCAACATAAGTAATAGGGAGTGTAATTAAAAGAAAATTTTGAATGGTCTGAAAAATGGCAGATGAATTTAATGTGGACGAATGTAAAGTACTTAGTCTAGGAGATGTAAACAGAGAAACCAGGTATCAGATGAACAACGTTGTTATAGAGAAATCCGACTGAGAAAGATTTAGGAGTAATGGTAAGTAGGAATCTTAAACCAAGTAAACAATGTATTTGCTCGAAACAAGGTTAATTAAGTACTTGAGTTCATAAAAAGGAGCGTTAGTTACAAGACTAGCGAGGTTATCCTAAAACATATCTTGCGCTTGTGAGACCTCACTTGGATTATAGTTCAGTTCTAGTCACCGTACTACAGAATGGATATAGAATCCCTAGAAGGACTAATCCCAGGCATTAGGAACCTTGAGTACAGAAATAGGTTAAAGCATCTTAATTTGCACTCCTTGGGTATTATGATCGAGGTGTATAAATGGAAGTCGGGCTAAAAAAGGTACTCAAATTATCCAAGCAGGAGCGAACTCGTAGTGATGGTTTTAAATTAGACAAATTTAGATTTAGGCGCGAGTTAGGTAAACATTTGTTTGGAAATAGAGTAGTGGATGAGTGGAACAAGTTACCAAACATCATCATTAACTCAAATACGCTGGATAGCTTTAAACATAGGTTGGATATATGAGCGATAGGGGTTGGGTGTAAACGGGACTGCCCAGTATGGGCAGTTTCCTCCATTCTTATTTTCTTATGTACGTAAGATCCAATCCTTCACAATCCAATGATACGACTATACTGATGAGGTGGTAGTGCTTGTGTGTATTTTACGATGGTTAATCTAAGTTTATATTATAAATAGTCTTCCAATAATCTTACACCTCGAGTAGTACCTGGTGAACATCCCTTCCCTCTCCCCAGTGTTCCCATTAAAAATCCTAGATCTGTCAGTAGCAGTAATCAATGGGGTACCAGACTACTCTTACCACTCACTTTGATTAAGATTAAAATTAAATTACTCTAGCAAATATTGTTCCTCAGTCTAATTGATTTTAGAGCACAGGCAGATCCAGGAAGGTTTGAGGCATTCATAAATATATCTTATGAGGCACCAGTGAAGCAAACTAATTTTAAATGAAATCATGAAATCATGAAATCACTTTGGCATGAAGTTGGTAACAACAAAGTATCTGATGTGTCAGTGTTGTTGTGTGTCAGTGCTGTTGTGTGCCAATGCTGCTGGGACCCATTAAATCAAACCCATGGTGGAGGGAAATGCCCAGAGACCTACTGTAGAATGCTCTGTAACTGTATCATCTTGCTGTGGCATGGCATGTTAACTAAAAGGCCTGGTTCACCTGGGAAATATTTGATGGCTGGTTCCATTATGTTTTTTCGCAGTGTGACAATTTCAGATGACAGTCCATGGAATCCCCAGGTAAGAGGTCATGGCCTTGCTCATCCTTGACAATGCACCTACCTACCCTCAAGATGACTTAAAAGTGTTATTGGGTATATCAATGTGAAGTTTTTGCCACCCAACACCACCTCACACATACAGCTCATGGACTGGGCATCATTCTGGCCTGCAAACACCACTATAGATGCCTCCTCTTGAAAGATGTTTTGGTGGTGGAACCAGTGCCAGAGGGGGAGAAGACATTCAGGAACTACAACATCTGGTATGCAGTGTTCAACCTGGGACAAAATTACAGAGACGACACTTGAGGAATGGGTGGAAGAAGCTCTTGAATGGTGGTGGTGCTGCTGCTGTAGAAGCTGTGTTGGGATGCAGACTTTAGTCACAGCAGTGCCACCACTGCCATGGAAAACAGTGTGGGCTTATTCCACTTCAAAGCCCTCAAAGTCTGCATCCTCCTGTAACACAGCCTCTGCAGCACCTCCACCACCATTCACCCATTCCTCAGTGATGAATCTGTTATAAATTAGTGATGAATGTATGATAAATTCGTGTTAAATGTATGATGCTGTGTTGAATGTACAATAAATTAACCGGGTATTAGGTTCATTCCTGCACTAACTGGGTCTTGGGTTTATTTCAGCACTGGGTAAGGGTTCATTTCATCACTTACCAGGCCTTGGGTTCATTTCATCACTAACCAGGTCTTAGGTTCATTTCAACACTAACTGGGTATTAGGTTAATTTCAGCACTAGCCAGTTATTGGGTTCATTTTAGCACTAACTAGGCCTTAAGTTCATTTCAGTACTAAGAGTGTATTGATTGTGACAATTTCCCATTTTGTATAAGTTTCCCATTTTCTATGGCAATGGAAATCAATTGTCTCTCCTCTGAGGTGCTTAACCAGCTACCAAAGCAGATAATAAGGGACAAAGGCCATCCTGTATCACCAGTACAGTATAAACATTTGGCCTGCTTGCATCACAAGCTCAAGATGACAGCATCTGCTGGAGAGTACAGTTTAGTGTTTACAGCCGTATAATTTTTTTTTACAATATATTGTACGTTTACAGTAATGTTTGCCTCAATAAATACAGCTCTGTCTCTCTGACTGCAGTTAATCCTCCATAGCAGTGGTGCTGGTAAGTGCGGGTTATTGTTCACCTCAGGATGGGGAGGAAAAACTCACAATGTGCTCTCTGTATATATTGTGAAGTGCGGTGCAGCAGTGCTTCTGGGGAAGTGGCAGCTTGGTTACAAGTGTGATGTGAGAGCTGGTTGGTGAGGTCATAGAGGACCACCTTGTGGGTCCCCATGCTCTTGGCCGAGGCGAGGCAGGAGAGGAGGAGGTGGTGCTTGCTGGTTGGTGTAGGTAGAAAGGTCTGATGAAAGTCTTTAGTTAAGAGGTGAAAGAAGATTATTAGGAGTTGAAGGAAAAGTGGTGAAACTGAAATACAGTAGAGAAGAAAGAATCTGGGCTCAACCAGATCGCTTCATCTTTCTTATTGGTGTTTTGTCTTTGGTTCCGCTCCTTGGGTCGTCAGACCTTTGTATTAATATTGGTTTATTTATATAATGCTGTATTATTATTATTTTTGTTATTGGAGTTAGTGAGCCGCCCAGGTCCTTGTGTAACTGGATCAGGTTCAATCTTCTTGTTCTGTGGTTTTGCCTTCTGGGCCGTGGTCGGAATCGGACCTGAACATTTCCGCTCCCGAGGACCGCAAGTCAGCGATGAAACAGTAATTGAAAAACTTATAGCACCTGAACATCCCTTACATGTGGGATACTCAGGGCATCAAAACAAAGAAACACCTCCTGCAAGCAGCAGCCAAGGACAAAACTTGACATTATACTGCTACAAAAGTACTTCTACAAGAGAACACCACTGTTTCAAAATTCAATGGATTTCGAC